GGCTTCAAAACTTTTGAAATATTTGTAGTTGGGAAGACATTTTGGGACTCAAAACCAGCATGTACCTGTGTTTGGTTTTCATTTGTAAAACCAATATTTATTGGCAAAAAGCTTTCAACATTTCTTCTTGTCATAAATTTAATATAGATTCTGCTGATACCACAAGTTTTAGCATTATAATTTTTCTTTTTGTATGAAAAAATTCTTTAACCTAAATTTTCCAAATAGTGATAAAAATTTCTACCTGTAGATAAAATCTCTCTCCTAATATCCCAATACAATTCATTAATATATGGTTGTGTTGAAGGTATTTGGAGAGAGATTTTAGCTGCAGCTAGTTTTAGATATTTTTATCACTATTTTGAAAATTTATGTTTAAGAATTTTTTTATACATGAAGAAAAATTATAATGCTAAAACTTATGGTATCAGCAAATTCTATATTAGAATTATGACAAACAAATAAATTTTGAAAGTTTTTGGTCAATAAATATTGGTTTTACAAATGAAAACCAATCATATACATGCTGGTTTTGAGCACAAAATGTCTTCCCAAGTTAAAATATTTCAAAAGTTTAAAAGCGCATAATTCTAAAATTAATTGTTATTATTGATTAAAATTTGGTATTTTTATTTTCATGTATATTTACAAATTTTCATTAAGATCTGAGGGGCGGAGGTGGGTTACAAATTGAACTTTTTCTGGATGATTTGGCATGGAATGACCCTAAATTCTCAAATTTCAGGGTATAACATGTTGTCATCTTTAGTGAGAGATTTTTAGTTGAATTTCTTCTTATTCTTTATCAACCTCCTAAGTGCATCTAAGCGTGGAGGTGCCCCGACCAAGGCCTGCCAAAACTTTCCTTTATTTGCCTTTATATTTACTAGTTTTACTGGACTAGTCAATAATTATGGAAATTTTATATCGACATTATCACTGCAGTAGTGGAAAAAAGACGATCTATTCGACAAGCCCCATTCATAGTACCACGGTAATAACGTGAAAAAAAGAGTATGTGAAAGGAGGATTAATCGGAAAATGGAAAATAATTCCCCATATTGGCTAATTAATGAATAGCTGCACTACTTTCTCTCGTTATGTTTCCTTTCACCGCGTTGGCAAAGTGCAATTGGACTATAACCATATACCGTTTTCAAAGTAAGTTAATCTAAACAGGAGTCCCAATATAAAATCGGAAGGAAAGAAGAATAGGCATTGAGATATTGAGTGATAGATGATAAATGTAAGAAAGGTCATGTCTGTCGTTAGCGGGAGCTTATATCTTAATAAAAGAGAAGGAAAACATGATAGAAAATCTCACAATTAATAAAAATATAAGATTTGGTAACAAAAGTAATCAGTTACATTATGAATTAAAACAACTATTATCGTACTGCATTAAATATAAAACGTATAAGATTCAATCTTTAAATTCTATGAAATGTTAACATGCCATTATCTGTTGCAACTGCTGACATTATTTCCTCTTTTAGAAAAACAGAGGAAAGATGATAAACCATCTAATTATCAACTTGTAATGCATTTCTTGTTCTTCGATATGTATCTGTTGCGAAATAATAACATAATTTGATATCGAATTCTAAAATAATTCACAAGTTATCTCGGACTACAGTTGTAAAATTTTAGAATAAAAAAATATGCATCTTATGTTTCCTCCCGCCCCCTCCACTTCGATATGCAAGAAAACAAAACTGCTGAATAGTATCGAGAAAAATGTGGAATATATTTTTAGAAATTAATCAGCAGATGCGGGATTATTAAAAGTGCTTGCATTGATAAGTGAGCATATCTATCTTGCATTATTTTTTTAGCTAGAGTTGAAGTATAGATATGGAAAGAATTTAATTTTCTCAAAATTAATTGAAACCTTTAAAAGACTATTGAATACAAAAACATGTCGGAATCTCTCATAAAATGCTGGATATTTATCGATTATTCTTTAGTATTGAACTGTTTTATTTTCGATTCGAAATACTGAATAGTGTGAACATAAACTCGTTCAATCAGAGAAATAGTCAAATAAATAAGTGGCATATACCTTGGGCTGGGTATTACAGACTTTTTTTTTCATTTAAATACTTAATGGATATATTAAGAGAGTTCCTTTAAAAGCTGTAGACATTTGATTTAGTTTTTAATAATTTTTATACATCTACATCTTATTACAAATATTCTTCTTCTTGCCTTGATATATTTAATTTCCACATAATAGAAGCTAAGCTGATAAGGCTTTAATCTGTTATGATCCCATTTTATCAATAGCATACAGTATCAAACAATATTATATTATAACAGCTAACATTGTATTATTATATACAACAAACAGCACGGGCGAATATACGGGGGGGGGGGCTTTCGAGCTGAAGCCATCCCCCCCCCCACCAAAATGGGAAAATATAACCACGTTTTATCGAAAAACATATTAAAAAATTTTCTCTTGAAGTATTATTGTTCGTGTAATTACATTTAAAAGAGCTTTAGGAATCACTTCAACACCATTTCATATAGGTAGTTAGTTTATTTTATTTTTCAAAGTAATTATCGTTATTTTTATTAAAAAAAAGCTTTCGGGCTGAAGCCCCTCCCCAAAATTAAATCCTGGATCCGCTAGTGACAGTCACTTTGCTTAAAATTTTTTGTAAGCCAAATGTTGGCTAATAATCGCCTCCAGAATCATACTTAACCCATTTCATTTCATAATCCTGATAACCCGAAATGAAAGTATTTTATCTTACTTTCTTTGTCATTTTTATCACAGAAATTTGTCATTAGTTGGAAAAAAAACCAATCCATTACTGATAACTGCCTAAAGTAGAGGGAACATTGTTGACGACTAGATCGTTTTTCCCGATTTTGGAAAGTCTTTCCAGTTGTAAAAATATGCAAAGAAATGAACATCAAAACGGGCTAGGAGCTGTGCATAATCTCAAATTAAATTACAATACTCAGAGAAATCCTAAGAGGTATTCGGAAATTTAATTGAGAGTCCCAATTCCTAATAATAATTGTGCAAATAGAATTCTTTGCGAAACTTTCTTGGTAACTACGTAGGGATGAGAAACATTTTTTATATTACTTTCAATCTGTTATCTTTGATTATATAATATACTATAAGTATATGAAATATGTAGTAAGGGAAAATATTGTGATAAAAAAAATTAGAATTCAAGTTTTCATAGAAAAATCACTGCTAAATAATTTCTACTTTATGTCATTGATTTTACACATTTTTACTATTTTCTCTAAATAGCCCTGTCAAATTATTACAAAAAAGGGGGTTTTAGCATGCAAAAGGTCGGGTAATTTAAATTTATTTTTTATTTTGTTAGGTATTAAGTTTTTATATGTTAGGTATTAAGTTTTTATATGTGAGGTATGCAGCGACTATAAAAAATCCAAGTTTTTGTCCATGAAAGCCTTGTGGGTTCGCTGCAGTCCTCCAAAAACCATTGAAATATCCAACTTTTTTTGATTTACGCTAAATATTTCCTTTTTAAAGTGATACATATATATATATATATAAAGTGGCTATATTTAATCTTTAAAAACTTAAAATTATCTACCATTTTTGTACATAGCATTTTTTATAATCTCAACAGGAAGCGAACTATCGAGCTTTTAAAATGGGTAATTTAAAAAAAAAAGTATTAATATTTGTTCTTTAATACAATAAAATATCAATACAATCATTATAGCACTTTAACTATTCCATTTATGAGTACTTAATGATGTGGCACAGCACTCTAGTTCCAGTTCCGCTTTTCCTTCGATTAAATATATTTTATAAGTAACTGCTTCAAATATTTCAAAAAGTAATCAGTGTTTTACAAAGACAAATGTATTGTCAAGATGTTTTATTGGGGGGGGGAGGCGTTTTTTGTTACTGTTTGCCGTTTATTTACAAAAGAAGCTTAGTTTTCAACTTTAGTTTTAACGACTAGAAAATTTTGACTTTACTGGTGTTTTTTATTGCCAAGACCAATTATTTTTTATGTTTTATTATTCTCTAACCAGCCAGGTTTACTAAACGGCCAATTATGCCGAAATTAAGCCTTATGCCGAATCTCAGTGACCGAAAAACCAACTTAAGTCAAAGGCGTCAATCTGTTATGTTTGAATGCCATTTTGGGACGGTGTGACCATGTTTTGTGAGAACATTTACTTTTTTAAATAGATATCTACAAGGAACACAACTATATGCAATTTATTGGGATGTGTGGGGAGTGTACGGAAGGGGTCTGGACCACTGTGTAACGTACTTTTCAAAACAGCTCGTATCTCTACTACCGTTTACCATTCCAGTCAATGACTCATTATCTTCAAGGAAAACCTCCAAGTTTTCTGAACGATGTTCAAAATGGTGCTACAGATTTTTTCGTTCAAAACTGAAAGACAATAGAGAGTGACGGAAAAACTAATAATTAATAATTGTTGTAGTTGAGTTATACCAGATAAGTTCAACACATAAAAAGATCTTTTTAAAACTCATAAAATAATTTGTAATTCAGATTTTTTTCGAAATTTTGCAAAGATATGAGTGCACCTAGGGAGAAGGGAAGTTTTTCCTTCCATTTTCCAAAATAAAAAATCTGGTGTGCGCATTACGCGACTTTCACTTATCACCTTGTTCTTAGCAGAAATAAGTATTTTCAGAAAAAGGAGTAGTGAAAGTAAAAATTATTCACACAATTCATTGTGTTTATTTTTATTTGTTTAAATACAAATGTAATTTTTATACCGCTGTGTTCTATACAATTAAATATTAAATAATACCAACGATAGCATTTTTGAAAACCGCATATGTATATGAACTTAATATTGTCGGAGTCCGTATTATCTAAAGCTCATGTTACGTATGGAAGCCTGTTGTAATTTTCGGGCAAGCTTGTATTCCATTATTACAACTATCATCCGTTCCGATCTTTTATTTCTTCTTTAGTTAATTATCAAATTATTTAATATTGTATATTTAACTATCTTTTATATTAGAGATTAATGTGAAATGGTCAATTGTTACAAATAAAAAAAATTAAAGGTACTTTAGGGGAAGCTGATATTGAAAATTAGCTATTTAAGCCCGGTTAGAGAACATTAATCAGAATAAAAACTAAATATTATTTTAAAATGCTTAATTTTATTCTGATATAATGAATTTAATCAAAATCGTTAGAGCCGTTTTCGAGAAAATCGTAAAAATGTATTTAGGCCATGATATAAAGTGCCACTTCTGGTTAGCCAATTTTGACGAAAAAGTTGCTGCAACATCCCTAGCATATAAAAACCTTAAATATGCAATTTCACTTCCATACGACTTTTCGTTTTTGACCTAGACTAATAATATAAATACACAGACCATTTTGCGGGTTATTCGGACTCAGGAGTCTTGAAACATGTATTTCCAATGAAAACTCAGACTCGAAAATTTTAACGATCGCAGTACTTACCCTTACTATATATTGCACATATAGGTAAGTGAAAGTAAAAATAAATGAATAACAACTACTACACGAAAAAGATTAAATTTTAAAAATCTTTCTCTTGGAGTAAAAGTTTTGAGCTTACAACGTCATTGAGCGATTCTAGGTTTGGAATAATGAACTTGAACATGAACATGAATGATGATGATGAGTAATTAAAATAGTTCTTGCCCAGGTCTGTTTCAAACCTGTTAAAATGGACTTTAATAAAACCGAAACGTCATGGAAGGGGTGCCGCTGCGTGTTGGTTTTCCTCATGCCCATTAAGCCTTTTTATATTATTTTATTCATTTTTTGTTCACATGATTATGCCAGCTTATCTACTGATTGTTGATTTGTAATTGACAAGTGCAGATTAATAAATGAAAGTGCAAAAAAATAAATAAATAAAACTAGTAATTTGTATTTTAAAAATTTAAATTTGGATTTAGTTACTATTTGTGTAAACCGACTACTGTGACTCACATAATATCGGCACTTCACATCTCTTCAAAGCTGAAAATTGTAATAAATTTAAAAGTTATTAATTAAGTCGGTTTGAAAAATTAATGATTCGGGTACGAGAGTAATATTTTCAAATGTTTAATATATGCTATCACGGTAATCTGTACTTAAAATATATTAATGAACTTTTTTTTAAGTTGACAGCTGTTATCTTATCAAGCTTACACAATTCTTAAACCCCCTCCACTTTAAACTCCTCGTTATTCACTTATCTCGGTAGTGATATTAAAGTTCCCTGGAAGGGCGACACAACAGTGATTGGATTTGACAATATTGCTGCCTTTTTAAATAACAGCTGGCTGTACATTTCCTTGCGTGTTTTTAGATGATAATCTAATTCTCATAATGGCTTCTTTACATAAAAAAATATTCACAATAACGAATTTGGGATTGAGGTTTGCTTCTACAAGCCCAAATTTTGATCATAGGTAATTGATATTACTTTCAAATTTAATAACATGGTTTACTTCTTAAGATTATTATTTTTTTTAAATATACTCTATATTTTTGCAGTTGTAAGGTGTTAATATTAGGAGGAGGGACTGGTGGATGTTCTGCAGCTGCTAAGTTTTGTTACAAGCTGGGAAAGGGCAATGTTATAGTCATTGACCCTGCAGATGTATGTATATGATCAATTTCACCGATGCATGATAACAAATGTTCTCTTAAACCAATGTAAAAGTTAGTTATTTTGGATCTGCCATAGTTTTCAATATCATGCCTAACGTAAAACAATGTTTAAATTGAGTGGTAGTAGATGGAATAATAATATAAATTAAAAAGAAAACTATTGGAAGCGATATTAACGAGTTTTTATTAATTACAAAAGTTTAAATATATAAAATCAGCTCACTATGCTGATAAGGACTGATTCAATGATAAAATAGTTCTTTAATAAATAAACATCGAAGTAATCATTTATTAACTGTTGTTTTAAAATTCTTGCTAAACTATAGCAGTTGATAAAATTAAAATTATTGTTTATTTTCAAGTGTTGTCCATTCAGATATTGCTGATTTTAATTTTAATTGTTATATTTTAAATAATTTATGGTATTTATACATATGAGTGGCTTTATATCAAAAATGAACATCTGTCATTTTCAGAAAGCGGAGAATAAGTCCATTTTTGTTTTATAGGTTCAACTCAAACTTTTTCTAATGAATCTGTTTAAAAATGTTCAAGTTGAATCATGAAAAAAAAAACAACATTAGAATTGATTGAAATTAAATGGTACAGAAAATTGACCTTTTCTCAATTTTTTAAAAATGACAGACATCCATATTAAGCCACAGAAATCCATATTAAGTCTTTGATATTAAACCACTCATATATATATATATATATATATATATTTGTTTTATATACGTGTTTGAAATTTAGAGCATCTGTATATGTTTTATCAAATTCTCACTCTAGCCTTGTCTTGTATTAGAAATGGATTATTTATAACTATAAAATTTTACTTTTTTAAAATCTCTTGTTCGAAGCACAGACATAGGTTTTTTTCTACTTTTTGATACCCACGTTTAATGATATCTTTTATTAGATCTTTCTTCAATAGTTCATCTCATGTATTATTATGACCTTACAGAAGCATTATTACCAGCCATTGTTAACACTTATTGGTGCTGGCGTTAAACAACTTGAAGCAGCTTCAAGACCTATGGTTTCTGTTTTACCGAAAAAAGCGAAATGGATTCAAGATAGTGTCAGCAAAATACATCCATGTAATAATTATGTCACAACAGATATGGGACTCAACATATCTTATGAATATCTTATTGTTGCCCTTGGAATTGAATCACACTTTGAAAAGGTAATTACATTTTTACATTTGGGATTACTGGTAAATGTTTCATAGAATAGGTACACTAGTTGCCTTTAACAATTACTTTGATTGTTACCAAATATATGATAAAAAAGTATGTATAGGCTATTAAAGCATTTATTTTGTTTACAAATTCTAAATCAAGAAACATTTATACTAAACAATATTAAAGAAGTATTACTCTGGTGGCCAAAATATTAAAATGCTCTGAATTTTCTTTTATTTATGGTCATATTTATTTGTCAACATGAATCTTATATTAATGATTGCTCATGATCACTTTATGTTACAGAAAAGGGACTAGGATACCTATTCTATAAAAGACCATGATCTTTAATTAAAACAATGTATCATAACTAAAGTCTACATATTAATCAATCATGCATGGTTAGCTCTTCTATTATAGATTTACTAATAATATGAATAAAGATGACATACTGTATAACATTATTTTTTTAATAATAAGAAAAAAAATTATATATAGCCCATCATATAAAAAGTAGAATAGTCAACATTGATACTAGTGAAACTATGACATTAATGAACGTTTTTGTCACGTTATTGTCCCATACTTAATGAAATTGAGTATTTGTGAGTATCTGTGTTCAAGTTCAACTTCTGATATTCTCGAAAATGTAACAACTTGGCCTTAATTGGCCCACAGGCTATTGTAGAGATCTAACTGAGGCAAGGGTAACAATATAGTGTGTTCACCTTGTTTCTTATGGATCTCACCAAACTTTCAAACATATTTATTATTACCATTTGTGCTTGTATCCTCTAACCATTTTTAAATGTCCTTTCTTTGCCGAATGTAGCAGGATTGAGGATGGTATGAAAAATATTTCTTTGGTATAGAAAAAGCATTTACTGATGTTGGATAGTCGAGAATGTATATAGGGTTTTCTGGACCTCTGAGTCCAAAAAAATGTTGGAATCTCTCATCTAGACTAACAAAAGTCCTTAAATTATTAAGCGTAAATAGATTCAATTTTCCACCATTTTCACTTTTATCAATGACATTTTTCTTTTCAGAATCATTATATTCTAATGGTGAAGTGTTGACTGAAATATCCCATTTACTGGTAGATTAATTTTGTTATGAAAATTCTTGTTTTCAGAAAATAGTTGACAGTTTTTGGAATCATTAATCATCAATTTAAAAATTAACAATGAACGTCTGAATTTGAATTTGGTGCGCAATTGTAGTACAAGTTGGTATGGCAGATAGCGCTTCCCTAGGCAGTTAGGATTCTGTTAAAAATTGTTTAAGACTAACCAAAAGTAAACATCTGCAAATGATAGATGTTTTTTAATTAAAAATTTTCTTTATCTCATTGTATCAACTGAATAAAATTAAAATAAATAAAATTATTTTGTTTTACTTTGTTACTCATAAGAATTTTTAATGTTTTAGTTATTATAAATGCTCTACACCATTTTAATTCTTTATTAGTTTCCCTTTGTTTTAGGTAAAAGGATTACAAGAAGCTCTTGAAAATCCCAGGAGCGGGGTTTCGTGTAATTACTCTGCAAACTATGTTGAGAAGACGTGTGAAAACATGTCAAATCTGAAGGAAGGCAATGCTATATTTACTTTCCCTAATACACCTGTCAAATGTGCTGGAGCTCCTCTCAAAGCTTGTTATCTAACCGAGGATTATGTTAGAAGAGTAAGTTTTTGAAATTTATTGTGTGATAGTGGATTAATAATTGACTGTCATAGATATATTGAAGAGAAGTGGGTTGGGGTGTTCAGTCATACACATTACAAAGTAAAAATAAATAAATTATATTTATTTTTATTTTTGCAGACGTTTCGGTCTAAGGTACTCAGCCCTTCATCAGGGTTAAGAAAAGACAAGATAACATTCGTATGAGAAAATAGTAGATGGTAAAAGTAATAATACGTAGGTAGAAGGTATTATTACTAGTGTAAGAACGGTAACAGAGATAGAAACTTATGAAATAAACAATAATAATTTCATTGTGTTATTACCGTTATTTTATTATTGTTTATTTCTTAAGTTCACAACTCTGTTAAAGTTATTATTTGTTTCATAAATTCCTAACTTTGTTATCGTTATCTTATATATCCTAACTTTGCTTCCACTAATTTCTATTCTTAACTTTTTTAGTATTATTTTATATTTACTTTATTTATATATTATATAGTGGTAGGGCACTGAGCTTCCAATGCAAAGGTCCTAGTTTCGAACCCCGGCTCATGGCAGAAAATTTATTTATCTGCTTCATTGGCCGTGGGGCGACCCTGGGTCGGGAGACCCTCCTGGGGCACACCCGGCCTCTATAAAGTGGGTACCCTTAATTAAATAATTAATAAAGGGGAAAAACCTGGCAGTTAAGTGTGATCTCAGTTTTCCATAACCGTTGACCTAGAAACAGTGCTTTCCCTAAATAGTACTGAACCCCAGACCCTTCATGGGTTATAGTGGTACAGGTTTTTTTTTTTTTTTATATATATTATATATTTCCCTTTGTACATATTCATTTATGTTAAGTTTATTCTACCTACATGTTATTAGACTATATCTTTTATCTACATATTATTATTTTACTATCTACTATTGTCTCATATCTATTTTATCTCGTCTTTTCCTAACCCTGATGAAAGCCTGAAACATTGGGCTGAAACATCTGCAAAAATGAAAATAAATATAATTTATTTATTTTTACTTTGTTACTTGTATACACACACATTATATATATATATATATATATATATATATATATATATATATATATATATATATATATATATATATATATATATATATATATATTATATTTTATATATATATTATATAGCCACCCATTTATCTTAAATAAATTCCCTAAACAAAATGTAATATCAACCAATGGAACTGTAAAAACTTAACTGAAAGACAAATAAATTTAATATTGAAAAAATCAGTACCCATTATTAACTGCAATTCCTGCTTAGCCAAGGCAACTGTCAAATAATGGACTCCAATCCTCTTACTCTTTCTCTGCTCCTGTTTCCCCCTCTTTCTCTGCTCAGCCTTTAATTACTGGCTGGACAAGATGTTTATATTTTATTTTGGAGTAATCTGTAGAATCCCCAATATTTCTAGAGGTATTAGCACGAATATCTATAACATTAATATAAATTAATTTACAAGGGTTTAAATTTAAATTAGGTATCGGCAACTCTGCTAAGGAAATGAAAATTTATCCCACCTATACTATTTCATTAAGGCTCAAATTCGGTTTTTTACCAAATTTATGGTCTTATCGTTGTTAATTTCATGCCTTTGTTTTTTTTTTGTCAAAAATAGATAAAGTTTTCCTAAACATTTTAGGGTTCAAAACTGCTATAGTAGTAAGTTGGTGGATCGAGAAATAACAAAGAGGCTTTTAAAGATTTTGATGCGGACATTAAGACTGGAATAAAGTTCCTCTGAAATGAAATGAGTTCTGCATTTTAAAGCCCCAAAACATACATACTGGTTTCAAATTGTGTTGACTTATCAGATGTCATTGAATAGATTTTTATCGATCCTCCCTGTCATAATATATTGCATTTACTTATTTCCTTATTCATTATATTACCATTAGTTCACTGACTGATATATTTTGTGATTTATTTTTATGGGCCATCTAGCTTACATTTATACTGTAATACTGTTGAGCTATTATTGAAATAGCTTTAAATATTTTTGTGTTTGCTTAAAATTATATAATTAATGTTCAAACAAATTAAAATAATACTCTTTTATGTTTATTATGCTATTCGTATTGTATTACACAAATTTTCAATATATTTATTCCGCTTTCTCTTTTGGATTACCTTGGCGAAGGGAAAAAATATATATAAATAGAAAAAGTATTTTATTTATTTCCATGTACCTATTAATTTAATTTAATTTTAATACAGGCAGGGCGTCGTGACAAAGTAAATTTCTACTATAGGACATCTCTCCCAGTTATATTTTCTGTTAAGCATTATGCTGAAAAGTTATTAAAACTATGCGAAAAACGTAATATAGATGTTGGTCTGAAGCAAGAATTGATTGAAGTTAATCATGTCACTAAAGAAGCAAAGTTCAGGCAAATCGATCGTCCTCTAGAAATAGAAACAATGCAGGTAATTATTAAAATAGTTAATTTTTGCAATTTGAAATTATAAGTTATTGTATTCTGGAAAAAATTACATAAACCTGTGCAGGTAGATATATCTAGTTTTAAGCCAATAGCTTACTATTTCAGTTTTATTTATTTTATTTTATCAAATATTTCAATTTTTTTTTCCAGAATATATAAGCCTATCAGTTGACAGAATGAGTAACTCTAATTCCAACATCTTTGAGTTTTCATTTTAGTGATATATCTAATTGGAAAATTAACAATAACTGTACAGACAGGAAGTTGATTCCAGAGTAGGTGATTTCAGTGTTGAAATATAAAACAGTGAATAAAGGTATAAATTTTTCCACTAGAAAGATCACTAAAATTAATAATAAAAAATGATGAAATTGGATTTAGTCATTTTGTTAACTGAAAGGCTCATATATGTATTATTTTACCTCATTACACTAGGAGATCTATGGAGGGAAGAAGTACTTTCCAGGCAAAACATCCCAAAAATGAAAAAAAAAATTTCTTCTTCATTGGTCTATATTTATTTATATGAGCGATTACTGATTACGTATCAATGTGTACTCTTTTCTATGTTTCTATGAATATTTCTTATAGTGTCATTGTTTGTAATCTTTGTTAATATATTACAGATTGATTACATTTATATGTATCAGAGGTTCCGTTAACTCCATTTAATATTTCACTCTGTAAATAATAATACAAAATATTAAATATGGAAAAAAAATAAAAAGGTCATAATATTACTTTAAAAAAATTTCTCTCATCTCTAAGCCATTATTTTATATGATACCATTTATAAAATGCATACTTGTAATTATTGTTTTGTTTTATCAAAAGTCTATTTTATCTAATGTTTTAAAATTTTGTCAGAAAACCATTCTGTGTTTGCTTTAACGCAACATATTTTTCTAAATTTATTTGACAAAAAATTTAGTTATCTTAAAGGAAATGTTGGCAATTTAAAGCCATAAAAAGTTTGTAGAAAAATATTAAACTTTTTGTCATGTAAAAACATATTTACCTGAAAATTTCTGTTTCAATTCTGTTGTTAGTACTCTATGCTGCATGCTGTTCCACCTATGTCACCTCCAAAACTTTTAGCTGAATCAAGTAAGGATTTAGTGGATCATGCTGGTTATTTAAGAATTAACAAAGCAACACTACAACATGACATTTTCCCAAATATATATGGCATTGGGGATTGCACAAATTTACCTACTTCTAAAACAGCAGCTGCAGCTGGTAAGATGAAATTTATTATTCACTAGCTGTATCCGGCCACGCAATGCTGTGGCTCATTCTGGTTAAATAAAAAATGTGTTTCACCATTGATATAAAGTGGCACTTCCGCTTAGGCGATTTTAAGGAAAAAGTTGCTGTCACATGTAAGGCATATGACTATCTTAAATACATAATATCAGTTTTGTACGACTTTTCGTTTTTTGACCTAAACTGTTCATATACACACACACAGACCATTTTGCGGGACTTAGTTATTTGGACTCAGGGTACCTCAAAACATGTATTTCCATTGAAAACTCAGGATTCGAAAAATTTTCACGATTGCAATACTTTCCCTTATTATATATTTCATATATAGGTAAGTGAAAGTAAAATACAGTAGTCCTCTATTTCAATAAAATATGTTGTAATTTTAAAATGACAGTGTTATATGAATACGATAGTTATAATAAAACAATAAATAAATAAAAAATTGGTACGTTTGAAGATTTAATATTAAATGCCTTCTAATTAATAATTCTGATTTTTTAAAGCAACTAATTATTTATCTAGATTTGTTTAAAGCCATATGTAGATTTGTAAAACAATTTCATAAAAATAATTATTATTAAAAAATTAAATAAAATATAAATAAACGCTTGAGCACTGTTATTTACTTTTATCAAGTTTAAGTTTAAATTTTAGCTGGCCAAGTTGGTGTACTCTATAAAAACCTGAGCAGTACAATGAGTGGGAAAGATAGTTCTTCTAAGTACGATGGTTATACATCTTGTCCACTTGTGACTGGCTTTAGTAGTTGTATCCTAGCTGAATTTGATTACGATCTTCAGCCCTTGGAAACATTCCCATTAATAGACCAAAGCAAAGAACATCGTTCAATGTATATTATGAAAAAGGATTTAATGCCATTTTTATATTGGTATGGAATGGTGAGGTAAGTTCAGGATCTATACATTTTTCTAATAATTTGAAAGTATTCAGTAATATATAGTGTATTATAGTTTATATTTTAATTGAGAATCAAAGAACAGAAATGTGATTAAGTATGAAGGTCTCTTCTGTACCATAGTAGTCTAAATGTCAAGCTATTAAACCATAGATCCAAGGAGTCTATTCTGGTTAATTTTTTCCCCTCAAGTTTAATTTTGATTGGCTACCTAGATCTGATTGCTGCTGTATAAGAAATGTGAGGGGAGCAAGTGAATTTGTTTCTATCAATTTTAACCAAAGTGTATCTTTTCCGTACATCTACGTAATTAGTACATAACTGATGGTTTGAATATTATAAAACCTAGACAATTATATTTATTATATTCAGCATTTAAAAACAGATAATGACTTTTGTTCTGTATCGAAGGTCATTGGAGGAGGATGTGGGTGCATTTTATATATATTTCACAATCCCTAGAGCATAGTTATATGGATTTCTAGGATGTCTAAATTATTACAAGCACATTTCATGTTATATATATATAATTTGATGCACATGGGTGGGAATAAAATTATTAGGTCCTAAACAGGAAACAGAAGAACCATACAAGACACTTGAAGTTTTGAATAGTCCATATAAACTAATACGACTGGTAAAGCTGACCATGAGAGATGTAAAGTGTACTGTGAAGTTTGGTGGTCAAAATTCAGAAGAGTTCTGCTCAACAAAAGGACTTTGCCAAGGTGATGCGTTAGCATGTCTTCTGTTTAACTTGGCGCTTGAGAAGGCAGTGAGGGATTTTGGTCTGCAAACTAATGGGACTATTAACAATTGGATGGTTCAGCTATTAGCCTATGCGGATGATGTAGATTTCGTAGGGCAGTCGTTGCAGTCTGTTAGAGAGGGATTTTTAGCTTTGTTGGAGGCCGCCAGAGCACTTGGGCTTTAAGTGAATGAAAGCGAAACTAAATATATGGCCACAGGAGAAGTCCATCGACCAGGCGGGACCATCAATATTGGCCCCTTTAATTTTAAGAAAGTAGCGCAGTTTAAGTATTTGGGGTCACTGATAACACAAGACAATACACCAGAGGTCGAGGTCAAGAAAAGAATATTTATAGCTAACAAGTGTTACTTTGCCCTTCACAAGGAATTCACCTCTCACCTTCTATCCCGGCATACAAGCTACATCTCTGTAAAACACTTAATTTGTCCAGTCCTACTCTGTGCTTCAGAAACATGGACGGGAATAAAATAATTGAGCATGACCTCTTAATCTTTGAGAGAAAAATTCTTCGAAGAATATTTGGAGGAGTAGAGATTGGTCGAAATTAGTGGGCGGGGTGGGTGGCCAAATGGGCTAATGCGTGTGCACAGCACCGCTGTTACCCGGCAACCTGGTATATCGATCAAATGATATAAAAATAGTCATGAGTTCGCATTCCAGTGCCAAGGGAGTCTTTTAAATCCCCACCCACACTCCCTGGCCTGGAAAACCCCGTATTGCCTTAACGGCGAGAAAGGGGAGGATCCAAATATTGATCGAAATTGGAGAAGACGGACGAATGCCAAAATTTACTCAACTTTTAATGATCAAGATGTTCTGAGGATGAAACTTGGAAGATTGAGATGGGCTGGCCACGTAGCAAGGATGGAGAATGAAGGAATCCCTAGGATGACCTTGACAGAACCTCTCTATGGCACAAGAAGAGGTAGACCAAAACTAAGATGGCCAGACGATGTAGCAAGAAATTCAAGGATGTCCTGGGAGTCAGGAGCTGGATGATGGCCGCACAGAACAGAGAGGACTGGTGGAGGTCAAGACACGTCACAGAGTTGTGGCGCCGTGAAGAAAAAAACAACAACAATAAAACGAAATACATAATAACACATTTTTTCTTCTGCTAAATTCAAGGTACAGTGCGCTAACCCCTTCTTATCAAATTATTTTCATATCCCATAAACAAAGTTACAGGGTTGAAATTTTATATGTAAATTGAGGTTGTTTTAAAAAATAGTCTTTTGATTACCTCGCCTTTCTTTTTTTTTTTCTCCTGTTGTCATTTTTCTTTCATGGATTTTATACACCTCTACAGCCCCTCCCAGTTGTGTCTAAGACTCAAAAATAGATTTGGTGCTAGAGATGAGCCTTTAAAGGATTTTCAACTGTTTTCCTCCATCCCTTCACTTTGATAAATTAAAACATGTTCAAAAACAAACCATGAGAAATTTAATTTGATTTTAAACTTCTAATAAATTTTCTTAGGTAAACATTAATGAAAGGATTAAGTTACCTTTGATCTGTTCTAAGACAAAAATAAATATAACCTGTCGAAGCTTTGCTGGTTAACTTATTTTTTCTTCTCCCTTACTCCCCTTGCCATTGGTGGGAAATGTATTCTAGTTTATTAATCTTTTGAAATAGGAAGACTGATGGTCAGATACTTCGAGAGTTATGAGACCAGAGTAGCATCCTTATGGGTTACTTGTTCAGTATTGGTTCTTCACCTTAACCTTATTCCTATCATTATCATTGCTGTAGTTCATCTACAGGATATTCTGAATTTTGAAAATCTACAACTCCAACATTTTACTTATTTTTTTCATGAAGTTAACTTGTCTCTTTGGTGGAAGAATTTAAAACAAGTTTTCTAACACAATGAGGAAACCCAATGGAGGGTTGTTAAAATGTAGGGAATGGTATAGCCCCTAAAAAATATTTCTCAGTCCACCTTTTGTTTCTTATTCCTGAGAATTACTTTTTATAATCTGTTATATCAGCAGGCTGATCAACCTTTCCTTTAAATGCTGGTCTTATATTCATGTAAGCGTGTAATATTTTATAATTTTACTATAACAGTTTCTTTTCCTTATGATGGTAATCAGACTCATAAAAAAACAAAAATAAATAAAATATTTATTTCTATGGTTTTTACCATGTTTTGATAACCTAATTTGCAATATATTTTCTGACTAAAGGAAGGAGTGAATGATTGTAAATTTTGTTTTTCAGAGGTCATTGGAGTGGACCTAATATTTTAAGAAAAATGCTACATCTTGGTCAAAGTAAATAATGAGACATCTTTTTTTTTTTTTTTTTTTTTGTTCACTTTGTAAAAGTGTGTTATTCAACTATGTGTGTTATCTAATTTTATATAAAAGGCTAATGTTCTGAAAGTTAAATACTAACAGTATTATTAATGTATTTCTATTTACTGTGAGATTAATTGAAATTTATCAGAGTTGTTAATATCATGACAAAGAAAATGTAACATTATTTTGGATATTATATATAATATATTTTATGTATGTTGAAATAAAAAGTCTTGCTTTTAACAATTCTACTTTATTGTTCCATAATTATGTACATTTTGAAATCAATAGGTAGTTCACATTTAATGAAAACACTTTTAAGGTATAAATATATATGTATATCTATATATGTATATATATACAAAAAGTAGGATGTAAATTAATATAGAAAAAGGCATAATGAATGAGCCTGTAGCTGGTTGGGTATTGTTTTCATACCCAATAACAAGCTACAATGCCCAATATTGTAATTATGCCTAAATTATATTTTTTATTACACAATTAACAATTAAAATAAACTGTCGAATAGCGTTTTTTTTATTTTTATTTTAAACCCTAAAACAAATTAACAAGAGGTAATGGTAAATTTACTAATACAGTGCTGTAATTAATTTTGTAAATTTTGTTATCTTTTGGTAAAAATATACAAACTAAATGATAGAACATTCGGAATAATTACTTTCAAGATGACAAAATTTACAAAAACCCAACATATAAATTCGATGATTTATGGACGGCGTCACAAAAAACTAACAAATTGTCATTCGCTTTATACCTCAAGGTAGTTTGAGGAGTTGTGGTGGCAAAGAAAGAAGCGCACTGATTTATCCTTATCAACTTAAAACTTATTGAGGTAGACAGTAGTCGACGATATTAACGTACATTTAATTTATCTACAATTAGCAGTGCACCTCAACCTCGAGGATTTACGTTATTATTTATGTAAAATTATTCTATATCAATTCATAATGCCGTAACTTAAAATTGTACTAATTTTTTAAAAAATAATATTTTACAGTCATTTTAAAGAATAATATAAATAATCATATATATAGTGCTTTAACTATATCGAGTTATTAAAGAAAAAATAAAAGCATCTTCTTTAAATAAAGAGTATTTATAAGACAAATAGAAAAGAACAAAGTGCTCCCAAGAGCAATAGAATTTGATACATGTCAAATTCACAAAAGCACAAATATTTATTATATTAAATAGAATAAACAGTCATATATGATATTAAAGGTGTATTTAATTATTATTAATTAGTCAAATTGTCTTCTTATACAACTATAAAGTATTTTTATATTTAAAAAAAATTAACTTATTTCCAGTTCAAAATCTATTAGGTATGTTTTAGTAAACTCTTTATCAATCGCGATATAAGCAAAGTTAAGATAATATTTAGAAATAATACACAAATTCAAAAAATCGAAGCAAAATTATTAATTCAGAAAAGCTAAAAATCAAGACTATTGAAAAAGTAACTGATTACATATATTTTATATATGTACTTATAATGATTTATACAAAATGAAAAATTGTAACAATAGTTGAATAATTTAAAATGCTTTATTTTTACAGAGAAGAATCTCTCGGAGATATTCACAACCTTCTTCCTAATTCTATATATATATTTGTTATGTTTTATGTATTAATCTATTTACAAGTTTCAACAATTGGATTACCTCATATATACATACACATATGTAAATAACACAATCACACACAGACACATACATACATAAATATCTATAAATGTGTAAGTATATTATACACACTTATATATATTATGTACAATCACACACAAACAGATATTTATAACAAAGACCCAATAATTATTTAGTAATAAGCAGATATGGGTCAAAGAAGAGCATTTATTATTTAACAATGACATCTAAAATGTGTCAAAATTATATCAGCATATAATGCTAAACGGAATCAATCACGGTAATTTTAAATAAAAGAAAATATTTTTCAGTCTTATACATAAAAAGAACAGATGGCAGAAATATAGGTTTCTGAAATCCAGCCTTTGGTTTCTTAATGTCGCCCTCCACCATCCAAGCCAACCTATGAACAGTTAAAATTTTAATAAATTTATTTTCAAATCATCTTGTTAGTTGGGAAGGATAATTTTAATATTTCAACAATACTTCAGGCAATGTTTAAAGTTCAAGAGAGAGAAAAATTAATAAATAATGAAATTTTAATATTAAAATAAAAATTCATGGAGTAAAATTTTTAATTTTGTGGCTATAAAAGAGTAATACACTTTTGGAAGGTTACATTAAAATAATTAATTTTTCTTCTTTTTTACACAATTGTATTGTATTTTGTTTTGCTTTTCCCTCCCACTAAAATCCAAACTGCTAGCAGATGCTATTATTGAATTAACTTTAGAACAAATTTTGTTTCAACTATTTATTAACTAAATATAAGTGTGTGTATACAAAAGTTTTTTTTTTTTTTAATTTAATATTTTTATCTTACTATTTTATCGAAAGGGGTCAGTCAATAAATTATTTCTGTAGATTTTTAAACAATATTTAAAGTTTCCATCAAATAGAGTGTTCGATTCAAGGGATTCAGACTTGACAATTTTCAATAAACAGTCAGTGCAGTTGGTGGTGGTGCACTGTGCATTATTGGCACTATTTATTTATTTTTATCACCATAGTTTTCAGAATTTTTTTGAAGCAAAAATCATCTTAAGAGATAGATCTTATATTAAACGGATGACTTGATAAAATTAAAATATCTTTACTATATAGCTGAGGAGATAATATATTGACCTATTCGACCCCACAAAAATAACAAGTCATAAAAAAAGATATAAACTGGAGTTACTTTATAATACAAATATTGTTTCATGCACTTTCATGCTTCTTATTGTTTGATAAATAAAATAAATGACATGCACAAAACTATTCTTAATGTCATAGAATCAAACCTGTCTTAACAGAACTAAAACATCAAATAAATAAATAAAAATTACATACTCACAATGTTGAAGGACAGTTCAGCCTTATCATCCCGTCATCCAACATATATTACATAAAATAAATAAATTCACATAAATTTCTTCAGGAGAAGGAAATACTTAAATAAATAAAATGTTCGTGAGTTTTAAAAAGTTTCTGAGCTCGATCCGATCAAGTCACACAGGTTTGAAATTAACAAAAAATTCTCATAACTTTAGTGAATTTATTTATTTATAATATAACAGTTTTATTAAGGGTAATATACAATTTTACACTACTTTCTAACTATAAGAAAAGGACATAACAAAGTATAAATGCTACAAATACCATGCTTAAAAATAGTTTCAATTCTAATAATTTTATCAAATAAATAAAAGTTAAAAGACTAAAAAGAAATTGCACCCAGAGTTACTTAATAAAAAATATTGGTTTTTGTTGTTTTGTTTTTTCTAAAGATCCTAAACAAGAATGTTCAGTTAAAAACATATTTACACAAATATCAATAAGGTAACAATAACCTTTACAATATAAATATATATTTTAATTTTTACAAATAGGATTACTTTAAATAGTTGAATATTTACACTTTAATCATATAAAAAGTTATAAATAAATATTAAAAAATTGCAACTTTTTAAAATTAAGTTACACCCTCCCTGAAAACAATTTTAAAATATTTTTGGTCTCCTCTATAGGAACTTTTGATTTTAATCTTAAGATATTTTAACACAAATGATCAGTGTTAAACAAAATATATATTATTAAAATGATTAATAGTTTATAACAATTATAAAAATAATGATTGAACTACTAAAACATTTGATGATTAAGTACTAATATTACAATGGCACTTTTTTTTTTTTTTTTTTTTTTTTTTTTTACATGCTCGCTATTTCATCTAGCTGATGTATATATATATATATTTCACGACTTATTTAACTATTAACGAAAGGCTTTATATTACATAACAGAAAAGAAATTTTCAATTTAAATTAAAATTACTACAGAAATTTGTTTTCTCTTTTTCTATTTATAACAATAGGAAAATACAAAAACAGAAAAAGGAAAAATAAATAAATAAATAAATTAAGAAAGTAGGTAACAAAACAACACCTGCAATGTGGAATAACATACATTTCCCAAGCATGCATATTTTAATCATTCGTTTAAATTAAGTGCACATTTATATCTACAGATTGCATGCTAGAAAGTTGATTGAAGACTATAAAATAGAAAGTATAATCATGAAAATTGCTAACTATTCTATTACAAAAGAAACAATTGATAAAAATAACAAATGTACACATGCTATTTAAAAAATTAAGTTGAACACACAAGTGGAAAATAAAATTAAATCTAAAATCTTTTCTCAGGATAGAAGACTAATAAATTATAGAACACACAATATTAGATTAGGAATATTTTAAAAATATAATATTAAAATTATATTGTTACAAGTCTATTGTCGAGAAATAACAAAACAGAAGGGGAAAACAATTAATTCAATACCCAATTTGAGACATAATGTACTCAATGAAAGTAGTTTTCACTACGTACCTCCAACATGATAGTTTGTTTATTATTCTATTCCGAACATATATATACTATAAACATGTATGTAAATTTAATAATTATCATTTTTTCTAAATTTTGTTTAACTGAATATACATTGAGCCCTTGCCAACAGGAAAAAAAATCCATATAAACAGAATTTGTAATAAATTAAAAATCCTGTGGAATTTAAAAGGAGCCACACAGGTGCATGCAGAAAGGGAGAAGTAAAAAATTTCAATTTTACGGTCAATATTGAACCCAATTAATGGTGTTCCTATCTTTAGTACTTTGTTTACTAAACACTTATTTTTTTTTTTTAAACCTTAGTATCATAAAAGTTAACTCCTTCCAAAACATATTATTTTTACTAAATAAAAAATTCTAAATACTGAGAGGACCAAAGAAATTTTTATTTAACTAGATACAGTGGAACTGAAAAATATAAAAATTGTTTAAAAAATTAAATTATAGATTGAAAGTTAAACAAAATATGTACATGTAGCCAGTTTATGTTCATCATTTTTCTGAATATTAATACAGAGTGATCCAAAAAGAACGGTCAGTTTTGAAATAAATATAACCTTTAAGTTTGATAATGTATATTTTTTTTTAAATTTACAAATATTAATTCTACATTTACCCAATTTAAAGAATGCAGATAAATATAAAAAAATGATACTGTTCATGTACAGAAAATCACTTCTGAAATAGAAGTTAGTAGCAGAGGCAATTTAGGGACAATTACCAGAAGTCTGTGAGCCAATTACAGTTCCCAATTTGCCTAATAATGGCACAGTAAAAGATCGAACACACCATTTGTATAGAAAAAGTAGTTATAGAAAGAAAAATTGTAATAGAAGTGATGAAGAACTTTTAAGTGCTTATATGATGAAATTTATCCTTCATATGTGATTCTCTGTATTTGAACGATTTATGTTCTGTTCATTATTCATTTTATTTTAAACTAAGTTGGGTAAACAACAGAATTCAAGTATGTAAATTAAAAAAAAAAAAAATTAACAATCTTAGCAGTTTTGTATTAACAAAATAAAGAGTTTTCCCTATCCTGTATGTACAATGAAAACTAGTGATAATAAACAAAGTAATAAGATATATAAACATTAAAAAAAATTCTGAATTATTAACAATTGATATTCAACTTTTAAAGACTTATTATAACTTTTAGGAGTATTAATAGATTTATAAGTCGATAAAAGCCTCGCCCATCTTGACACAAAAACTTGGGTGACTTCCTCCACTGACAACTACTTGACTACTTGAAATGCTGTTAATATATTGAAACTGTTAATGTCTCAATCTCTTGAATGAATGTAGCGAGAGCAAGTCAATAGCTCAAGCCTAAATAATGCTGCAATCATTTAAACAATTACTTAAAATATGCCAATGAATAGAAAAACAGTATTAAGTCCTGTCCACTATCAACATACTCGTACACTGATGCAAAGTGTATGGTAGCAATCACATATGAACATGTTATTGTTTGTTTACAATAAAATATTCTACTTAAAATTTATTCCAAACGTTTTGTAATTCACATATGAGCTCTAGTCTTGTCACTTAAAAATAATCGAGTAAGATCAACAAATTGGTATTCATTTGAATGGGGGGAGGGGGAAGGGGAAGGAGAGCAATAAAATAAAAGAACAATCTTACTTGATTACAACAATCTATCACCTATTCCTAAAATGTCTAATAAAAAAAAATTACTTTAAAGGTCCTCAAGAGATTCATTTATTAATGGCAAGTTTGAAAAAATATAAACTATTAAATTTTATTCAGATCATAAATATTTTTCGAGTATATTTATCTACAAGAAATTAAAAGTAAAACATCATGACTAATCGGTATAAGGATCCCTAACGGGTCGCAGTTATGCGATGGTTAAATTAAATTAATTAGTAAATAATTTACCAGCAATAATAGAATTAGGTAAACGTGAAGGGAACTAGTCCACCAAGTGGGACTTTTTGCCAACCCCCGATGGCTGCCCTGAGGTTGACACCGAGTACTTTCCGGAATGGGGATATCAAGATTTATTTCCCGAGGCCACCAAGAAATAAATATTAACAGGCCCAAGAAATGAATGAATTTTAAGATTAAGCAGAAGAAAGATCCAGAAGGTTAACTACAACAAGAATCAAGGACATTTGAAAACACAGATACTAAAGATGTCCGTCTTATGCCTCTTTATCTCATCGCTAATACAAAAGTATAAATCGCAACATTTATACGTCTTGAATACTAGAATTTATAAAATTATCAAGTTTTTCCAACCTTTATGAAAGATCAGGACTATGAACTATGGACAGAGGACCAAGAAGCAACAGGAATAAAATCCTAATCGTAGCACATAAATATAAATATTATACATAACCAATAAATATAATGCGTCTTATAATTCCATTAAGTAATTTATATCATTCACAGACAACGTATTTTAGAAGAATAAAAATGGATAGCAATCCGTTTATTTAAAAAATAAATAAATAGTAAAGCTTTAACTACAAAAAGAAATCCTTTTACTGAAATAGTGTAACAATAATATATCCTTGAGATATATATTTTCAAGAAACCTTCTCTTCCCTTTAATTTAAATAAAAATATATTTTATTTGACCTGAATTTAATATATTAAATTTAAATCTTAATATAGATGTCTTAACTCATACAATCTTCAATTATATCAAGTCCGTATATTGTAGGCTGAACTTATGCACCTCTAACTAATCATAAATACTAATGACTACATAGAAAAATGGGTAAGACAAGTAAATAAAAAAAAAAATATAGATGCCATGTTACACGGACTTATTATCTTTTGAAGTCTCATATAATTTCAATTATTATTGTCAATTTAATTTACTAGTGAAACTAGAAACAAGTAACTGAACTATAAAGATGAGATCATTTTTTAGTTTATATTTAACATTTGTTTTTTGTTCTTGTCGAATATTTAAGGATTGATAAAAATAATTTACTACCCTATCATCTCCAATTATCCATGGGCACATAAGATGGATTCCATTATAGAAAAAAAAAAGTATAAAGAATTTAATGCTTTAAATTGGAACAGTAGTTTATGCTGAGGATTTGGATAGTATTTCACGTGTCACAGTTGGGTCAAGATTACATCAATAATATCGAAGATGGCCTAATGTTTGCCTTATAACTCTGGCATTAATCCTCCACCCTCTACCCTGGCCCAATAAAAATTATGGTACTTGAGAACAGTCTGGTCAGCAGTAAACCTCCCTTCTTATCTTATTTTACGTCACATAACCTGTCTTTTTATCTAATGTAAGCTGTTGCATGTGCATTATTGCATTGGTTATTTTTGTTCTATTGTTTATGGTTGAAATGGATGTTATTATATTATGGAGATTGCCATCTTCAAGAGAAGAGGCTATCAAATATTTTCAAGATGCCGGGATAATTACAAAGGTAAAATATTGTGATGAAATGAAGTTCAACGTGAAGAGGAAGTGGAGATGCTTTCGTAGGACTTGTAACAAAAACATATCTATAAGGAAAGGAACGTGGTTAGGGGGGTCGCAGATTACCTTTTCAATCGCTTTAAATTTAATTTATGGGTGGTCTCATAATTTGACAATACAGTGGTGCAAAGAGCAGCTGAAACAGATGTATCAATGTGAAACAAATTTTTTAACAGAGGTTTGTGCCCGTAACATGTTATACAGGTCAACTAAGAAAATTGAAGGGCCTGAGAAAGTTATTGAAGTAGACGAGTCTTTTTCTAAAAGAAAAAATCATGTAGGGAGAGTTCTCCTTGAACAATGGATGTTTGGCGGAATTTGTCGAGAAACAGACAAGTGTTTCATCGTAAAACTAAAGGACAGAAAGGCAAGAACTTTATTAGAATGTATTAAAAACAGTATCGAAGAGGGAAGCATAATTTATTCTGACTGTTGGGAAGGATACAACATTCAACAATTGAATGAAGCAAACTATTATCATTCGCAGGTGAATCACTGGTATAACTTTGACGGTGAAAAAAAAAAAAAGAGTGGAGAGTGGCAAGATGTTTATCATAAAACTGACCCAGGTGGGAATCAAATCCACAATGTTCGGAATCGGGCATTCTGGGACTCACACCCCAACATGCTCGGGCATTACGTCCTCTTGCCACATCTATTTATATAATAAACATGATCTTGATCCACCTGTCAATAAGATGTGGCACTAGAACAATTCCCCTATTGCCAGAAATGACAAGATCGGGAGCTATAAAAAATAGAAAATTGGCACTTATGAACTAGAATTAGAAATCATTTTTGTCTACATCTTTGATTCATCGAATTCGAGAATAATTTAGAACAAGTAAAATTAGGAGAACCCTCATAAAGAGCTATCATTCAAAGAGCCGACTTGCCAAAAATTAACTCGAGGGAAGGGATGGTACAAGAAAAACTTCAAATAGTGTAAACAATTTATGCAAACCAACATTTCAATCCATTCAGCATGTCTTCATCAGGAATAAACGAAAAAGATACTAAACAATATAGAATTATTGTAAGAGTTTAAAGTTAAGATAAATGGCATATAGAAAAATAAATAACTAGTAGCAAACTAAATGAAAAATACAATAAGGTTGTTAAAATGTAAAACAATAATAGATAATAATAATAAAAAAAAAAAAAAACTGTAGCACTAAAATCCATGAAGGCTCTTGTGGGTTCAGTACTCTGTTGGGAAGTACTGTTTCCACGCCAGTGGGTTGAGCAGGGAGGTAATTGCGTGGAGATCATCTTTAACCGCCAGTTTTTTTCTTAATAAAATAATTGAGGGTACTACTTTATAGAGGCTGAGTGTGCACCAGGGTCTTTTGACCATACAGGTAGAGCCATAGTGGATGACAAATAATATATAAATATCAGTTATAACCAAAGTCAAACCTGGGTCCTTGAGAACACACAGTACCTTAGTTACTAAGCTACCCACTCCTAATAACTAAAATAGAATGAATTACAAATTGATAAAAATGTATACTGATAAATAATCGACAGATAAGGAAATAAATAAATTGATTTATCACGATACCTCTTGTTATGGAGGTAAAACCAAACCTATACCATAGTGGAAATGTCAGCCACGAAATAAATTTCAACCCTCCCAGACTGGATTTGAACTGGCCTCACAGTCTTAATGCAGGCAATACTTCAACACACTCGGCTTTTTCTATGTCATCAAAGTTAAACTTTAAACTCTTACAATAATTTTAGATTGATTGCATATAAGAAACATGTTATGTAACTTGTTCATTTATCACTGATGAAGACTTATAAAGTGGGCCGAAATGTAGATTACAATAAATAGTTTACACTATTTGAAATTCATTTTTGGCACTGCCACTCCTGGCCATCTCATCTCTAACCTCATTATGGTAAGAGTCAACTAATAATCACTGTAGGCTAACAAGTGGGTACTGTCAACTAATAATTATTCAAAAAAGGAAACTTACTCATTTAAAGCAAGCATTCTCAGAACTTGATAAACTTATGAAGACCTACAAGAACAGACTATAGGTGAAATATATATATAACAGTATTTATCAATAGTACACTATGACTATCGTCATCTTCACAGTGATATTTAGAAAGATGTTTATGACTGCTACCCTCTTGTCCTAATTTTACCTCCTCAATAACATGGTATCATATTCTGTTTCATTTAACAAAATCATTAATTAGTAAAGCAAACTCCCAACCATTCCTAAAATTCTACAATTCAGTTTACTTCTTTATAATTCTTGTTTTTTTCTTTTTAGAACAACCATGTATATAATGTAAACTTGTTTATTATACAATCAAATATTTTATTATATCTATATTTTGATATTGGTTACGCATTTTTTAAAAATAGGAGACCTCCCTCCTAAACATTTTGTTGCAAAACAGCAATTTTATAATTGGATAAATACTTAAAATAATTATTTAAAAATTAAGGTCCATAAGTACTGGCTTCAGTTTATATATTTATGCTATAGTCCATTCTGGAAAGACTTCTCATTTATGAACCTTTAGATTTTATTAACAATTAATTATGCTCTAATTTTCCACTCCGGGTCTGCCTTAGTGTGACTTAAAAATGTAAATATGAGTGAATAAGTAGCTATTTGGCTCGTTACCTTTTCAGTCATATTTACATTTAAGTCAGGCCAACCAGGCCGGAATGGACAATTGGGCACTTTGCTTTATTCTTCTCACCGGCTCCGTAACTCCAGCTGCTCTGGCAATGATTAAAATTTCAGAATTAGATAGATCGGTTTCAAATTTCTATAACATCCTCAAAGCAGTAGCCTTTGAGCTGATGGACAATAACATTTTATAGTCCTTTCATATGTTTATTAAAGCCGATTCGAAAAAAATATTATTACCCTAAATGACTGTTTTCTTTTTACAAGATAACAATTAGGATAAAGTAGTCTGAGTAAGAAAAAATAAATATATTAAAACTTTATAAAATAAAATTAAAAAAAAAAACAACTCAAAACCTTATAACCCTTTAACTCTTAACAACCATATAAGAGATATATATACATTTTTTTTTTTGTTTTTAAACAAAAACCTGAAGGTGTAATGATAGGTAATTTACCTAATGTTTTAAGGTATTTGATAACAAGGCAAATTACAATAAAATTGTAATTAAAATGGAGCTGAAGTTAGCTCAAGGAAAAGTATTATTAACGACTTTGTAATAGATAATTTAAATTTTTATCTACTCTACAGTATTTAAGTAAAATTTAAATCTTCATCTACTCAAGGAAATCTTTACTCTGGAGGCGGTGGGGGAGGAGGTTCAGGAGGTGGTTCGTCCGGCAACGGAGGAGGCGGAGGGTAGGAAGGAACAAAGAAATATTGGAAGGGAGGGGCAATCATAGGCTGATACATGTGCTGAACATGGGGTGGGGGTTGAAAACGAGGAGCATAATATGCATGCCTGGGGTGCCTCATCCTACCTCTTCCCCGACGGTGCATTGGCCTCTGGTGGTGTCGAGGATACCCAGGTTGGAAATTAGGTAATCTGGGATGGGGGGGTACAGATGACCCTGAAGGAGAAACCTTGTAAGGCAATGGTTGCTCAACAGTTTCTTTATCAACAGATTTTGGATGGATTTCATTAATTTTAGGAGGTGAATATTTGTGGTTACAGGATTCATTGGACATAGAATTGGTCCCCTCCCTATTTATTTCCCCTTTTTCATTTAAATCTAAATTAGTTACCTGAACTGCCCCATTCGGTCGCTTTGTGCCAGTTGCAGCACCTGGGCTCTCGCTCCGGTCCCTCTTTCGTGAATCTTTCAACTTTTCTTTGGGAATTTTCAATTTCACAGGTGAAGTTTGCTGCACGGGAGTGATAGGTGTTATCTTGTCCTTTGCGATCTTGATTTTAAGAGATTGTTCCTTCACAGGGGGCACTGTCGTCAATTTGTCTTTTGGGATAGTGATTACTATAGGTCCAGGTTCCTTATGTTTTTCCTTCTTGTGTTTGTGTTTATCTTTGTGCTTTTCTTTGTGTTCTTTATGTTTCTTTTTCTTCTTTTTGACTTCTTTATGTTGTTCTTCGACTTCTGGAGGTAAAACAGTTTCTACTGGGGGTTTAACCTCTACTACTTCCGGTTCGATTTCTATTTTTTTTTCTTTTATTACAGGTACAGGAACTTGGGCTACAACAACAGGTGGTGGGGGCGGAGGAGGCGGAGGTGGTTCTTCTACTCTCTCTTCTTTTATCCTCAAAATTGGTTCAGGCTTGGGTTCTGGTGTAGTTGAAATTTCAGGACTAAATATAGACCTTTCTACTTTAGGAACTGGAGGAACACTAGCCGGTTTAGGTACTTCGACAGTTGGGGGCTGTTGAGGAAAATAATGTTGCTGTTCCTTTTTGTATGGTGGCTGAGGGTGATGCTCAGGGCGCTCAGGCCTCCTAGGCCTCTGATCTTGAGGAGGCGGTGGTGGTTTGTGACTTGCTCTCATATTATTACTACTTGCAGCGTTGGCAACTACACCAGGAGCATGAGAAGGGGGTGGTTGTGTTCTTTGAGGAGGGCCAAACATGCATGAAGACTTAGATGACATGTTTGGCACATTCTCGTTCCTGAAAAATTGATAAAACACAAACAATGAAAAATAAAATAAAATATTTTGCTTTTTTTTAATTATTAAAGATTAATTTTATCATTGAGTAATTCTGTAATTTAAAGAAATTTGATTTTAATCATTAAAAATAATATTTAAGCCTCTTCAGAAGAATGAAAGCTTAGGACAGGAAGTTCTTCTGTTCCACTTACTCCTATTAAAATGACACATAACATTCGATGAAGTCAATCATTAAGCTAATTAGTTATATTAGGCTATTACATTGTATAATATTTCATTGTTTAGCACACCCTAGATAGTTGAACCTATATTAAAGAAATATGTAAAAAAAATAAGAAAGTCAAATATAATCTGAGAGCCATAGAAGAGTACCTTTCATATTATGTTATTATTAAGACTGAAATTTGCTAAAAAATGAATAGTCTCAAAAGCTTTTACCTTATAGGTATTGTGGGGAATTGAGATGTTTCTACTAGAAGAAAAAATGAATTTTTTTCCTCACTATTAGGAAACAAATGAAATTTATGTTATGTTTCTACAGAGAAATGGTAGTTGGACTTCCCTTTTCGGGTTAATTACCAGATAGAAACTGTATTGATAATATTTTTGGTCTTAAATACAAGATGAGTAAAACCTAATTTATTTTTTACTACTAATTATAATTAATGGATAAAGTAATATAACACAAAGATAAATTAATTTATATAGTTCATATAAAACTATCATGAAGTTTCTGATTTTTAAAAAAAAAATTGAATTTAACCTGGATGTTGTTAAATTACTATACATTATTTTTATCCTTACTATTTCCTATAAACCAGGATACCTACAACTTTGGTGTTTTAACCAAATAACTTTTTTCTAATTTATTAACATATAGTGATACTAAAATATTGTGCAGTAAAAGTGGCCTTTTTTTTTTAATATACAGCTCTAAATTTTGGTTTACGTGTACTATGTTAAACATTTTAAAAAATGATAACTAATACAGTTGTCATTTAATTATCAAATTTAGTTAGTTATTCTTCATAACTTCTAAAAAAAAAATGTGTTTGAATTTATATATCATAAATCCAACAGCTGATATAGTTTGGGTAAATTGAAAAAGTACTCAATATTTCCAGTATGCATGTGAAAAAACATCTTTAATTGGAAACTGTCAAAAAAATTCAGGAATTTCAATTAGCATGTTTGGTAGACACTATGACAAAGCCATATTTAATCAACTTTTTGATTTACACACTTCATCATCACAAGTTATTATGTTTTAATTTAATAGACAAAAGTGTTGAAACTAAAGAGAGAAAAAAAGTAAATCCTACTGATAAAAATTCATAACAGAATAGACAGGAAAAGAGAATTTTAACAATAAACTAGAATAGTTTACACTCATTATATTTATAGTAGTTTTTTAGAAAATGTCTGAATCAAACTAACAATACCAATTAAAATTAAGAGTAGTAGTAAATAAAAGATTTAAATATAACTAGTTTAAATCAGCTTTCTCACTGTTTATGAAAACAGAAGGGAATATTACAGTTTAAAATAAATGAAAACTGTTTTGACTTATGCAAAATTTACTGGGAAATCCCAACTTATTTCTGACTTTTCCTAACCATAGTTTTCAACATATTACTCCATATGATTAAGAAAAGTATTAAAAAAACATTTGATCAAGATTGATAAATAATATGCTATCCTGAAACATGGAGATCTAAAATAAACATTTAAAACAGGAATATGGAACCTATAAAAGGAAATTATTTGATGGACGAATATCCACATTCTTTTATGCATAACCCCATATATAGCATTTCCAAGTCAATTTCAACCTTTTCCAAGTCAAATTCAACCTTTTCCAAATCAAATTAAACTTTTTCCAAGTCAAATTCAACCTTTTCCATTTCAAATTAAACCTTTTCCATTTCAAATTCAACCTTTTTTTATTTATTTAATTATCTTTAATTTTTCGATGCGTGGGTCTGTTATCGTATGAGTAGTTTTTTAAAATAATCTCCTTTTTAAGATTACGTGACTGCGTTTCGAATTATTTAAGTTTTTTTTTATTTATTCGATATAAGGGTGTATTTTTATGTTTCCCGATCAGTAAATTTTTAAAATGACATCTATTTTATGTTTACGCCACTGTGTTTTGATTTATTTAAGTTTTTAGAATTTATCCAATATAAAGGTCTACTTTTTTGTTTCCGGAGCCGAAGATTTTGAAAACGACCTCCATTTTAAGATTAGGCCACCGCGTTTCGACTTATTTGAGTTTTTTGGATATTTTTCATATGAGGGTGTATTTTAATGTTTCCGGAGCTGTAGATTTTGAAAATGACCTCCATTTTAAGATTAGGCCACCGCGTTTCGACTTAGTTGAGTTTTTCGAATATTTTTCATATGGGGGTGTATTTTTATGTTTCCGGAGCTGTAGATTTTGAAAATGATCTCCATTTTATGATTACGCCACTGCGTTTTAACTTATTTAAGTTTTTCGAATTTATCCAATATTAAGGTCTACTTTTATGTTTCTTGAGCCGTAGATATTGAAAATGACATCCATTTAATGATGACGCCATTGCATTTTGACTTATTTTAGTTTTTCGAATTTATCCAATTTAAAGGTCTACTTTTATGTTTTCGGAACCGTAGATTCTGAAAATGACCTCTATTTTATGATTACGCAACTGCGTTTCAACTTATTTAAATTTTTAGAATTTAACAAGTATAAAGGTCTAATTTTATGTTTCTGGAGCAGTAGATTTCCCCCATTTTGTAAATGACCCAATTTAAAGTTTATGCCACTGTTTTGGATTATAAAAGTTTCTTTTTTTACTTTTTCGGTATAAGGATCTACTTATATGTTATCCGAGACGTATTGAAATTTTTCTAATCTTTAATATTTAAATTTATCTAATATTTAAGCTCCATTTTATGATTAAGCCGCTGCATCTTGATTAATTAGGCTTCATTTTGGATTTTTTCAATACAAAGTTTCATCAATATGTTTTCGAGTATGAATAAATAAATAAATATTATGAAGCTAAAGTAAAATTAACCACAGAATACAAACTAAAAAGCCGAAAAGCAACTGGTAATAAATTTAATGTTCCGTATTCAGATTTTTCAGCTAATTGTTCGAAATCTTATAATTTTGTGATAGGAGACCTCAACTTTACAAAAGATAACTAAAATTAAATTAAAAATGAGGCAATACATATTTTATTTATTTTGAGTAGATATTTTTATTTATTTATTGAAAAATAAATTAATCCTTCGTATTATGTTTTTTATTCGAAGGAAAAATCAAAAACACTTAACAAAACCGAAACACAGTGGCCTAATCTTAAAATGTAAGTCGTTTTAAAAACTAAGGCTCCGGCATCATAAAAGTAGACCTTTAAATTGGATAAATTCGAAAAACTTGAATAAGCCGAACCGTAGTGGCGTAATCTTAAAATGAAGGTCATTTTCAAATTCTTCGACTCCGGAAACATAAGAATACACTCTTTTATGATAAAAATTCGAAACACTTAAAGAAATCGAAATGCGGTGGCCTAATCTTAAAATGGAGGTCGTTTTCAAAATCTACGGCTCCGGAAACATAAGAATACATCCTCATATGAAAAAAATCCGAAAAACTCAAAGAAATTGAAATGCGTTGGCCTAATCTTAAAATGGAGGTCGTTTTCAAAATCTACGGCTCCGGAAACATAAGAATACATCCTCATATGAAAAAAATCCGAAAAACTCAAAGAAATTGAAATGCGGTGGCCTAATCTTAAAATGGAGGTCGTTTTCAAAATCTACTGCTCCGGAAACATAAGAATACATCCTCATATGAAAAAAATCCGAAAAACTCAAATAAGTCGAAACGCGGTGGCCTAATCTTAAAATGGAGGTCATTTTCAAAATCTACAGCTCCGGAAACATAAAAATACACGCTCATATGAAAAATATCCGAAAAACTCAAATAAGTCGAAACGCGGTGGCCTAATCTTAAAATGAAGGTCGTTTTCAAAATCTACGGCTCCGGAAACATAAAAGTAGACCTTTATATTGGATAAATTCTAAAAACTTAAATAAGTCAAAACACAGTGGCGTAAACATAAAATGGATGTCATTATCAAAATTTACTGATCGGGAAACATAAAAATACACCCACATATCGAATTTGTCAATAAAACTTAAATGAATCGAAACGCAGTCACGTAATCTTAAAATGGAGATTATTTTCAAAACTAGGTACAGGACAGCATGATACTAGTCCCTAAGAACTCCGAATAGGTACAATAAGTCGATATCCGTAAGTGAAAATTCTACTTAGGAGAGCATAATAATAGACTTTCATATTGGAGGGGGGGAGGGGATGGCCATTATTTAAAAAAAAAATATAAAATTTACAAAAACTTAAAACATTAATTTGAAATTAAAACGGTTGAATTTGAATTGGAAAAGGTTTAATTTGAAATGGAAATGGTTGAATTGACTTGGAAAAAGTTTGATTTGATCTGGAAAAGGTTGAATTTGACTTGGAAAAGGTTGAATTTGACTTGGAAATAATTGAATATCACATAGAAATATCACACTGAAAAAATCTAAAATGTTAAAATAAATGGATATGCAACTGCGTAATCAAATTTTTTTTTGTATTTTTTAAAAGCTATGCCGTCGATAATATAGTAAGTGGCCTTCATTTCGAAAAAAATCGAAAATTGACAAAAATTCTAAAGTTGAATTTGAAATGGAAAAGGTTGAATTTGACTTGGAAAAGGTTGAATTTGAAATGGAAAAGGTTTAATTTGACTTGGAAAAGGTTTAATTTGACTTGGAAAAGGTTGAATTTGATTTGGAAAAGGTTGAAATTGACTTGGAAATGCTATATATTAAATATCGCACACCTGCAAGAAAATTGCCAACTCGAGAAATCAAACTTATAGGAGATACTAAATAAAATTACCAGTTTTTCTGTAGTTTATATGCAAATATAAAATTGTAAATCATAAAACCTTAAGAATAAGGATATATATAGTTATAGAACAAAATAATTTAGCCCCCATTCATAAAATGTGTTCTCATTTGGAGTTATTAAGTGACAAAACACTCTCTAGCGGTTTTCATAAAATGATAATCGGAAGTCACAATTCAGGTGTCTTTTTAAAAAAAATACAAGACAACTTTTGTTGAATTTATAACTTTTCATGAGAGTGAGCATGATGAAGTTCTATCAAATAAATATAAATATATTAAATGTACCTGCACATTAAAAAAAAATTATACGGACGAATATATTCATAAGAAATAAAATTTACCTTGAATGGTGTGATATATGAGGTTTCTTGTAATCAGCATGATGCCTCTGTGAGTACTCCAGTTTTCTCTTTTCTTCATTCGAAGAGGTTATATTACCACTACTGTTACTGCCACTGCTGCTGCTTGGGGCTGAGCCTGGGTAAGGTACTCCTACGAAAAATGAAGTGACATCAAATTAAAAATTTTATTTACATAGATCTTAATTATGATCAAAAGTATCCAACAGAATATCCTGAAGATACCCTATCAGTCTTAAGAAGTTGGTTGGAAGGGAGGGTTAAGCCATGAAAGACAACAGATAGTAAGGGTAACATTTCTTTGATACGTGCCTAAGGTTTGGCTTTCCATTCACTCCCTAACTTCAAGACTCGTCATCCTGATGACGGCCTATGACTTAGAACGAAATGATGCACACATTTAAAGATTAATTGTTCTCTTTCTTGACCGCACCGTACAACCAACTTCTTGATGACATCTATATACAGTTAAAATCTCTCAACCATTCTTTTTTTTTTTTTTTTTTTTAGGTTATTGGGATATCACTCGACAAAATTTCAGAACGGTTCCAACAATGCACTTAATGAAACATCTTAAATTCAATAAATAAAAACATAAATGTGCATACCCAGGAACAAAATAATAAGTATACAGAAAGTATAAACTATACTGACCTGAATTTTGATGAGCGGAACTGCCACCTTCACCATTTCTCTTCTTATCTTGTTCCTATTCAAATCAAAATAGAATTATTATAACTACCACTAATGTAGAATTAGATATCTACTATTAGGTCATCCCACATATTTGACGGTTACTCAATATTTTAACATTATAAATACAATAATAATAAATAAATTACTGTTTATTAATTTTCCCACTTTATTTATTTAACGTACTTTAAAATAGCTAATTTTATTGAAAATCACTCATATTTTGACTTATTATTTTCAGTAATAAACCTTAGTAATCAAGAAAGAAGAAAACAAATTAAACCCTCCCACAACAAAATCTGTAATTTTACATTTAAAGATAAATAGAATTTAAAGTTGAATAAAATATATCTAGTCTCAGATCACCGGCCTTTTTTCTTTTTTTTTTTTTAAATGGCAGCCAATTAGAGCCTATATATGCCTGTATCTCTGTCATTTATGAAGATAGAAGAAAAATTAAGTGTTTTAGAATCCTTATACTAGGGGCTTTAAATAGAAAGGAAGACATTTTAATTTTTAATCTCTTTAATAGATAGTATAATTTTTTTTTTAATAAGGGTCCGGCCCAACATTACTATGTATCAAATAAGGCATGGCATCCTATAAAAATATCTGAAATGGAAGTTTTTTTATATAGTTGAGCACCATAAAACAGCTGAAATCCTAAGCAAAACTAATAATTTTTTAATTTCCTGAACCATCTCATTCCTCTATATACTACTTAACAATTTCTTAAATATTCCCTGAAATACTAATTAACTCACTGTATGTGTATCACAGCCCCCAGAAAAAAAATAGTTATGATGAAAAAAAAATTTATTTGCAAGGAACTGAATAAGTAATTAAGTTTTACGGTAACTTTGATAAATTTATTAAAAATTAAATAAATAAAAAATTAAATTCTCTACAAACAGGAACAGTATAAGAAAAAGATATAACGAAAAAAACAAACAAATATTTAAAATTCTCATTAATAAAGAATTTTCTAAATTGTATTGACTACTTTTTTTAAAAACTCGTCAATTATACTCATCTAAATAAAAATAATAATTAATATCATCGGACATACCGGTGTATTGAATGCACTGAGGATAGAAGAATGCTGACTAGAAGAAGACAGAGACATTATTTTCTTCTTAAGTCTAGAAGGACACTTCTCAAATATGACAAGGAATTCTTCCGTCAATTGTTCTAAAAGCTCTTGAGTAACACTTTTATCCACGTACCAAAACCAAGGTTTACCCTCATTACTCTGAGGAATCTTGAAAAAAAAAAAAAAAAAAAAAAAATTAATATTAGCAATAACATATAATTTCATCCTTTTGTGATAAAATAAATTATTCTGATCTTTTTCATTTCATTCTATTATTACACCCTTTTCAAGAGGAAACTTTTTTTAAAAAATTCAAATGTTTTTATAAACATTTTTAAAAATATTCTCCTTAAAAAGGATCTAATAAGCTGGAATGTTGGAGATAAGAAATTAAAACGAATTTAGGATAAACAACCTCATTTAGGCTAATCATTTTTTTTGTGGGATTATGACACAATTATTAAGATTTAATCAATATACAATTAATTTTATTCGAAGACCACAGATTTTATTTTATTGATAAAATATTTCTCAATTAAGAAGTTTTATTTTCTCTATGTATTATATAATGTTTTGAAATTTAATGCTGTTTTCAAATACTCTAACAAACAAAACCAAAATTCATAAAATAATTAAAAATATATACATTTTTTAAATATAATATTCTATGATGGTATTATAAATATATATTTTTTTATTTTAATGAAATTTAGAACTGTATTACATGGAAAATACAACAAGTAAATGTGACATTGGTAACATGACATGTACAACATGAAGAGAAACTACCAATTGGTAGAACTCAAATATAAATATTAATTTAGTAGTTTTAATATTTTCTTTGTATCACAAATTTTATTGTTTCATTTTTCCTTTAGTAAATAACAAAATTTGTAATAAAACAATAAATGCCATAGTGGAGTATAATGAAAACTGTTTTTTAATGATTTGATGGCTGTTGTTTTTGTTTGTCAGAATATTTGATAGCAATAAATGCTTTAACATTATATAATACATATAGAAAATAAAACTTCTTATTACAGAGATGTTTTATGAATAAAATAAATTCTGTGGGTGCACGTGGTGTTGGAAAAAAATAATTTGTGCATCAATTAAATCTTAATAATTAAAATAGAAATATCAATATAATGCCAGAACTAATTAGTTCTAATGATAGTTCAAAAGATTTTTTGCAATAAGCATATGAAAATGATCATCATAAAAAATAATTTTATTAGATGCTTGTAATGAGTACCTAGTTCTGGCATAATTACTGTTACAAAAGTTGAACTTTGTTTACATCCTTGAGTATTATTTAGATAATCCTTATCTGTATCAGGTTACTTTCTTTACATGTTAGGATAATAATCCATTTAGTTAGTATTTTTCTTTCGCAGTTAACATGGAGTGGGATGATAAAGAAAACCAAATAGCTGTGATCGCCTTACACAAAGTTGGAAAATGTAGGTTAGAGATTTTCAACCTTTTAAAGCTTTGGGTATCAGCTGTATGTTCGTGCACTGCACTATAAATAAATATAAAGAGATCTGTGATAGAGCTCGACCAGGTCATCCCCCCACTTTGAGATGGGCAAATGCAGTGAGAGCAGTGGCTGCTTGATTCAAAAGAAAATCCATCTGAAAACAACAAATCATGTCTCGGGAAATCGGAATCTCTGTCAGATCAATGTCTCGCATAGTAAAAAGTGACCTTAGGATGGGTGAACTTCGAAGAATGACAGAACAAAGGCTAACCACTTTCCAAAAAAAAAATTAGAGTGGATAGACGCAAAGTACTCTTGGCCATTACACCAACGGTGTTCATCGAAAGATTATGTTTAGCGATGAGAAAACTTTTACAATTGAAGAAAATGATCGTGTATAGGCACACAGCTCTAAAGAAGCACAGGAAGTCATTGGAAGAGTGGAAAGAGGTCGTCACTCTTCCTCAGTAATGGTTTGGTGGAGAGTTTGCTTTGGTGGCACCACAAAGCTCCATTTTTGTGAAAAAGGAGTTAAAACAGCCGCTAAAAACTATCAGGACAATATTTTGGAACCTGTTGTCAAGCCTCTAAATGATACTCTGTTTGCTGAAATCATTGAGTTTTCTAGCAGGACTCCGCTCCAGCTCACAAGGCCAGGTCAACTCAGCAGTGGCTGCAAAACAACATTCCAGAGTTTATCTCTGCCTCGGATAAGCCCTCAGGAAGCCCTGATATCAAACCACTAGATTATCGGCTTTGGTCTGAACTGGAGAGGATGGTATGCCACAGAGCACACCCTAACTTGGAAATCTTCAAACAATTTCCGGTCCGAGCAGTTGAGCGCTTTCCTCAAGAAGTGCTGCGTGCTTCTACTGATGACTGACCACGAAGATGAAATGCCTGTGTCACGGCAAAAGGGGGAAATTTTGAGTAATTTCTATTTTGTTTTACTCTCTTTAGATATCAATTTTATTTTCAAATACAGTTTTTGAAAAATTAATTTTTCTGTTGAAATCTGCATATATTTCCTTGTAACAATATTTATGACAGGACTAGGTATATAAAATTCATACTTTTGTATATCAGTCTTGAAAAATAATGAACTAATTCAAAAACATATTTCTCTTTTATGCTGCCAATTTGAACTTTGTTAATATATAGTCATTGACTAAAAACTTACAGCAGAACAAAATAATAAATTAGAAAAATTTGTAAAATAAAAATTGTATTAACTGAAAACAATGAATAACATAATCTGAATCAGTATGAAACTGGACAGGTATGAAAACGATGATGAAATTATGTTTGAATCATAACTGATAGAATACATTAAAAAATTGATATAGTACACTTTAGCAACAAATACACAAATCATAGACAGTATTACCTCCCAATTTGACCATTTGCAGGCCAAATGGATGCAAAAGCAAGCTACAACTGTTGGCTTGTACTGAAGACACATTGTTGTCAAGTGAAGGCTGAAAAATAATCGATAATTGAATCAAAAATAGTAAAAAAATAATTTTCAAACAAAAATCTTTAATTTGTAAAATCATTAAGAGGATAGATAGTAACAGTGTTAACTAAAAATAAAAAAAAATTATAACTAAAGAGAAGGATGGTTGGGATGATTAGTCAAAATAAAAAATAGTAAAAATAAATAATATTTTTTATTTTTATACTTTGTCGACATTTCGGCCCGAATTTCAAGCCTTCATCAGGGCTAAGAAAAGAAACAAGAAAGGTATGAGGTAGAAAAGGTATGAGAAACTAGAAACATTGAATAATAAAGAATTAAAATTAAAAAGATGAAAGGTATAGACTAAAAAAATTAGGTAGAAAAAAATTATAGTAAAATGAAGTAGATAGAGTGAATATTAAAGTAAAATAAAGTAGGCAGAATGACAACAAAAGAGAAATTACTTTAATGTTCACTCTATCTACTTCATTTTACTATCATTTTTTTGTCTATACCTTTCATCTTTTTAATTTTGATTCTTTATTATTCAATGTTCATAGCTTCTCATACCTACTGTTATCTGGTTCTTCTCTTAGCCCTGATGAAGGCTTGAACTTCGGGCCGAAATGTGGGCAAATATAAAAATAAATATAATTATTTATATTTACTATTTTTTATTTTGATTTATCACCCCAACCATCCTTCTCTTCAATTATTCACTGCAGTCAACCATCAACCCACAATTGGAAATTATAACTGAATTCAAATATTTAGTTGTAAAAGGAATTACATCTATGTAATATATACATGTATACGTATGTATGTATATGTATATATATATATATATATATATATATATATATATATCTTTTTTTTTTTCTGTTGGCATTACAGACCATGTAGATCTTTTGCTGCCTTAACAAGCCTGCTCCAATCCCTGTCTGTCTTGGGCTATTTCTTTCTAGTTATCTGCACCCAGCTCAATTGTACTTAGATAATTCTATCGATCCATCTGGCTTTTTGGCCTTCCATGTGGCCTTTTGCCATTGAGGCATTCATTGTTACGTAGAGGCTTCCAGATGGATTGCTATGAGCTACATGCCCCGCCCATCTTAACCTCCATGTGTTAATTCTCTGATCCCAGATTACTCCGGTTATCCTGCAGAGAATTTTTCTCTCAAATGTTTCAATACTTTTTTCTAGGGTGCTGGTTATTGCCCAGGTCTCACAGTCATATATTAGAACTGGCTTTATCATAGCATTGTACTATCTTAATTTGAGATTTCTTGAAGAATTATATAATTATTATTCAAGAATAAGTATCAACAAGCAAACTTTTTCATGTCATTCAATGAAAGCCCATAATATATTTTGCTTGCAGTCAGTAAATAATCTCTTATAAACTTCTTCAATAAAAATCATGAATAAAAGATTTATTCTAGCAAGACATATTTTGAAATTATATATATATATATATATATATATATATATATATATATATATATTATATATATATATATATATATATATATGTATATATATATATATATATATATATATATATATATATATATATGTGTATATATATATATATATATATATATATATGTATATATATTTTACCTTGGGGCGGCACAAGGTACATTGTAGAACTGTGGCCCAAGGTACAATAATATGACTTTTTTTTTATTTTAATTTAATTTTTTAGGCAAAATCCTTAAGTATTTTGTTTAGAACTTGCCTTCAGAAAAAGCTAGAGAGATTACTTCGACTGATAATTGTGAGTATGTTTATGTACTTTTTGATGAAAAATTATTATATCAAGTAATGAAAAATTACTTTTTCAACTCACAAACACTCTTATCAATATTATAAAAAAAAGTAGCAGATCAGAGGCACTAATATCAGCTAGAAAGTGTTCTGGTAGAGCAGCCTACTTAATTTCGCCGCAATCCCCGAATTTTCCCCAGAAGTATTTCTTATTCTTAGGGAGGCCCAAGGTAAACGCACGTATATCCCCAATATCTAATAGCATGATATAAAAACCTGGACCCTATATAAACTACAAACCACTAATCAAAATAACGGTCAAACTGATAGAAACTTTTCCAGCTTTTTATGAAGTGAATTTAAAAAAATATTATAACAAAATCATGGAACATCCACCAAATGAAAAATTTGTACCAACCGATATATTCAGGTTAATATTAATAACCAAAATTCTTCAAATGTTTCATAAATTGATGACCAACCAATGATGGTGATGATTATTTTACAAATTACAATCTAGTACATAAAGTACTGTTTACACATTTTTTTTATACTAAAAAAATATATAAATTTCAATTTACCTGTTAGACGCCATGAAGTAGGATGTCTGGGCGAGATCTTTGCTTGCTGGTCAGATAAATGATAAAGCAATCATCAAGTTTAAATTGACAGCAGCCAAACGAAGTGTAGAACAAATCAGAGAGAGGACCCAAGAAAAGAATTCACATTGTCAGAGCCATTTGAGGGATAGAGAGGCAAGGCAATTCATGCCTTATATACCTCCAGATTCATCTTGTCTGGTTGGCATGAAAGGATGAGGTTATGGAAAAATGAAAGGGTTATTCCAAAATGGATAAAAGGAGCTGTTAAATTTAAGATTGTATCCCAATATGGCCCGTACCTGTGACCCTATACGCGGCATATTTCTCTGTGAATCAAACAGAGGCAAAAGAACAAAATTATGTTAATCACAAATTTTAAATTAATATTTTTAAACAAATTAACTTAGTTTAAAATTTTTATCCTCTGAAGACCAATGGGGTAGAAGACACTATCATTACAACTTAATTATACACAAAGGGTACGTTGGTTTAAATTAGGAAACTTTTATTCGAAGCATTAATTGAATCTATTGAGAAAAGCAGCTTAAAATAAAAGGCTGTTGAAATAGGTAATAACACTAATTTAATTCTTGACTTTTAACTTCCTAAAAATTCCAAAATAGATCAAATCATAACAGATTCTATTCCCTACCTTTCTCTAATAATATATTTTTTAAAAAAGTCAAGTTTTATTTTAAAATATTCAAACATGCTGTCAATATATTAAATTACAAAAAATAATTATCTTGAGAACCTAATGATTTTCTGAGAGAAATGATAAAACAGATGACTAATACAAAAAATATTTTACAAAATACGTAAAATTGAGCTGCGGTAGAATTCAGGTGATAAAGAACGTATATAAGATTCAGGTTTAACCTTTTTGAATAAAAAAAAAAAAAAATTCATATTTGGTCAAAAACTTGAAATAACGATGCACCTTGGAGGTAAGGTGAGGACGGAAGGTGTGACTTCTGCCCTTGAGCCCATGATGTATACCACTCTCAAACACGATACTATCTAACGTCTTTTAGCCCTACTTTTATAAACACGCAGTCATAAAAGCTAATAAAATACAATTTAAATTAAATGATTCTATTCAGAGACAAAAGAATAGAGAAAAACAGGAAGATATCTCTTAGATGGAAGCTTTGAAACTGGAAACGTTATTCTAGGCTATTAGGTATAAAATAAATACCTAATGATATGAACAAATTATCTTAGCGAACATAGATTAGAAAACTTCTGGATTTTTACAATTTCATTGTTATAACCTAAATTTCACCTACAAATAAAAATTAAAAATTCATTCAAATACCAAATACATTAAATTCAAGAAAATATAACAAATAAAAAGAATACCAGAAGAGACTGTAATACATTACTGAAATAAATCCGTGTTTAACATTTAAAGAATTAATTGATATAGTGTGAGTAACAAAGGCATAGATGTTTAACATATGTTATCAGTGATAATTAAAAAAATAAAATAAAAATTTCGGGTACAGTGATTGGTAAGGAAGAAATTGTTTCCAGGCCAATGGTTATGCAAAGAAGCGATTTGGCCATGATCACGCTTAACTGTCAATTTTCCTCCTAATTATGTTCATGTAATTTATAAAGATTCGGCTGGGTCTAGGAGCCTTCTGAACCTCGGTCAATCCACCGCAGATGTTACAGTAAATCATTGTCACTCACAGCCCTAAATGAACCCGAGTCTTGACTGAGAGATAAAAGTGTCTTATTCACTGAGCTACCCACCCCACTACTAAGATCAGCAGTGGATGGCCGAGCACGTTAGGACATAGGTTCTAGTGTCCGGATCAGAACCTTGTGGGTTCATTTCCCATCTGGGTCGGTTGCTTTTCATTTCTCGGCAACCCTGGGAAATGGATCGTGACATTACCACTCTGGTAAGTACGTGGAGGCAAATTCAAGGTAGCCGCCAGGGGGTGGCAAAAAGGACCACGATAGGGCCTACTTGCCGGACTAATTCCCCCCTCCAATAGCAGTACCAGTGAGATTAGCAGCAATTAATACCACCTTACCAGGCTGCGTTGGGACATCGGAATTCAAAAATCTGTTAGTTGTGGTTCAAAAAGTTCTTCAGCATCAGATTAAGATTGCAAAAAGCTTAGAACAATAAAAAAAAATGAAAATTAAGTTTGTAGAAAAAGTATTTAAGTATTGAAAAACATTAAAATTAGTATTATGTTTTTATTATTGTTAAAACTACTATTTATTCAATATTTATAACAGTAGAATTATTTTATTTGAAATTTAAATACATTGTTAACAGAAAGTGGGTTTAAAAAAATTGATAAAAATAATTCAACAAAAAAAAGGATCAATGATTTTTCTTTGTTTCTTTAACACAAAAATCTAATCTCTATGTACCATTAAAATTTAATGTCTATTAAAACAATTTATTTTATTTACAAATTATTTTAACTGATTTACAACCCCATCGTAATTATCTTTAGACAAATTCCTTATTAATAAAAAGATTAATTAGATAAATATTCCCTTTATTTATCAAACATAGAAAACCTACCTAATATATATGAACTTGCATATTAAAATTTTCTCAAAAGTAAAAAACAAAACAATATAATTATCATTCTCTATAAAACTTAAAAAGAATCCTAATTTCAACCAACAGAACTCTTTTCATGTTATTTTATAAATACTTAAACATTCTTTTCTGCAGAGGTACAATAACTTCCTACCACTATTTATTTTTATTTTTAGAAAAAATAAATAAAAAAAAATCATATTTTATCTGTCCAGATAGTTGTGAATAATTTACTCTTAATGCAAAAAAAAAAAAAAACATGTGTTTCAATAAATTTTCTACTTGTGAATACTGAATACATGATAAGTAATTATTTCATGGAAATTTTTTGGTAAACAACTTCTACCCAATTACATTACCTTATCAGTTGCTTGATTAACTAATTATATTTCTTAAACTTAATAACAAATATTATTTTCCTAAGAAAATGCCCAAATATTTGAAATAGCAAAAGTTTAATTACGGGATAAATAAAAGAATGTTCAATATATGTGAATATACACTCTTTAAAAAAAAATTAAGTTACTTTGTTCCCATTTTAATTATATTTTCAGAATGATTTAATTAATGGTATGAGTATATAAAATAGGTTAGTTGCAGTTTAAATTTATTATGTAAACATCAGCCAACTTTCTTTAAGTTTAATTTTTTAAAAACAACAACTTAGCGTCCTCCAGTCAAGAGTGGCATCAATTGGAATTTGGTCAAGGGAAGAGGGGGAGTTCCTGTCCTGAGGGGGGCTGAATTTTGCTGCAACCTCATGGAATAAATTTTGATGTTCTCACTCTTGCTACATAAGATTGGTGATATATAGGACAACAAGTCTTTCCTGCTGTAGTTAGAGGCCATGGGGACATCAACTTTGGCCTTTACCTTGTAATAATGGCTCACCCCTGAAGGAAGTAAAGATCAAATCCCCCAAAATTAGGGGAAGTTAACAAGTTCAAACAAATAAAAAAAAAAGGCTATAAAGAAATAATAATCACATAAAAATCATATCATTGGATAATGTCAACCTGCTGAGATATTAAAACTCATTTCTTAGCACATAAGAAATATTTGAAAAGCACACAAAATCCTACACCAAGGGCCTCTATTAATATCAATGATCAGTTTCCCAGTTTGTGAGGCCTTCAAATGCCTTGGATTGCTTGTCACTGAGAAAAATGAGCTTCATCAAAGAAATTGAAGCTGCAATAGCAGCAGGAAATCATTGCTATTTTGGAGTTATCTAGGCGTTACACTTCGAAGATCTTTTAAGGAATGCCAAGGTGATCATTTTTAAAATACCATTATACGGCAATTTATCATCTATGGAAGCAAGATAAGATTCCTAACGCAGGATATGAAAAGAAGCCTAAGCTCATGGGAATAAGAAGTCCTCAGGAAAATATATGGGCCAGGCTGCTCTGAGGGAGAGTAGATAATAAGAAAAAATCATAAAGAGCATTACACGACCAACCTGACTTTGTCGCCATAATAAAAAAAGCAAGGTTGATGTGGCTCGGCTATATGGAGTGTTTAGAGAGCAATCACTTCACAAAACAATTAATGTATAGAAAGGCAGGAGGTGCCTAAAGTTGAGACATGGATGGACGTAGTTGAGTCAGATCTACAGCAGCTGGGAGTTAGAAGGATAGCTGTTGCTATCCTGAGTACAAGTGACCTTATTAATTTATTCGTTGAAATATAATTCATCACTAAGGAATGTATTATTACACAGAAGGTACGCTAAAACTGTTTCAGTATATTTTTGGCGGTTAAGGCAAGTGGGAGAATTTCAGTAGAAAGTGAATTGAAATCAACATCTGGCAATGCATGAATGAGAACATGTTTGGCCGTAAAATGTATCAAAATAACTGGTAAGCAGAAAAAAAAAAATTGTTCCGGAATTTTTGCATTTTAATACTGTTTTGTTTGTTTTTTTAGATAAAGAAGATTAATCTTGGTCGCCCTTATTAATATTATTTCAGAGTGTATATTAACATATATAAAATTAAAAATTGCTTAATATATAAAAAATAAATCTTATTTCATTTAATGTAATTGGTGGTGATACATTCCTTTCATTTTTAAAACTCTTGTTTCCTCAAGTATTATTTAGTTAGTATGTGAAAATTTTGAAATCATTCTGTTTCAAAAATAACATTTTGAGCAATAAGACTTAAGCAATATGAAAATAAGAATTTTTCAAACTCTTTGGTAAAATCACTACTTAAGCCTTTCCATATTTTTTATTCATGCATTGTAACCAATAGATTTTAAAGCAAAAATAATTGCAATCAAAACGAGTCCTAATATATAGATCAACAATGATGTATCCCAAAACATCATGATTATTTCAAGAACACCTAAACTTCTGTTTAAAAAGATAGGACATCACAATAATTTTATGTAACAATCTCCAAACATTCACCGATTTGATTATATGATTATGTAGTAATATGAAAATGAAAAGAATTCCACAACTGCAAATTGCAAACTTATGATCTCCCACAGATAAGAGAAAAAAAAAATAGATTTTAACAATTTTTAGTACAGTAATTATGACATACTTAACTTATATATTTCCTTATTAGATATGTATTTTATCATACAATGAATGAAACAAAACTAGTTAGTTGGACTACTAATGATATTGAATTAAATTTAAAAACAAAATAATTTTTTTTTCAGAATTTAATGCATCGGACATGTCTATAATTGCTTATGGTAAAGTAACGGAATGTTAAAAAGAACTCAAATCTAAAGGAATAACTATCAACTATCTCAACACTTTTGATTCATGTAGTTAACTTCTTCAACTTAAAATTCTTAATTCCATTAAGCAAGGAAGAAAATCTACTCTACTGAAATCTATTGCCAGCCTGAAAATTAGTTTAATCGATATCCTGCCAGTAAAAATATACCAATACATGAAGTGATTATTTTACATCCAAATACTAACGGAATGGTGAAAATTTTAAATAATAATTAACTGAAAAGTATGAGGGCAATGGAAACATGAAACAAACAAAACAACGAATAAACAATTTCTCTAGCTCATCGAAACATCATTATATTTAAAGGAAAATTTAATCAATCTTTGCAATGGAACTGAAGGGTGGAGCTCTGCGTTTACTAATAGCATTCTCGTTTAACATAAATATAAAAATATCTAAGATGCAATAAGAAAATGTAAGCATAGTAGAGTACGCTGATATTTTAAGAGCCTTTGAGAAATTAGAAGAAAGAGAAAAAAGTAATGTGTAAAGAAGAAGAAACGTAAGCATGTGAAAGAAGAAACCTCCACCAAAGGAATGGAATGGTACAGTAAAGTTTAATAAATTTTAAATATCCAGACAATTATTGAAATAAGTATGAATCTGGTGGTATTAGATATTAATAATAAAAATTAGAATATTATTTACAATCTATGTAATTCAATACCTTCACTACATATTATTTACATCATAAAGCACAACTTTTTTTATTATAATAAATAAAAAAGGCCTTAAGGTTACTGATATTACATTATGATATTACAAATGATACAGCTGATATTACAAATGATACCTGTCATAAAAATGACTATATAAATTTTCAATGAAAAGTATTCACATGCTCAACTAATTACTTAGATAAATTGCAACTCAAACAAAAAAACGAACGTTTATGTACTGTTTATAAGCGAAACTGTCCATAAGTTAACAGTTGTGCAAGTTGGTGATGCGGCCATGACCTTAACTTGGCTCAAACACCAGGTTTTTTCTCTTAGAAACCCACTTTATAGAGGCTAACAGTGCCGCAGGAGTGTCTCTTAACACCAAGATTGATCCATAGTTGATATAACAAAGTATCCACTATCTACTACAGTCAGAATGAACCCAAAACCCAGAATATATGAGTGAGACACAGTGCCTTTTACACACTGAGTTACCTCACTCTACAAAAATAATATTAAATAATTCACTTAAAGGTTCAACTTCATAATATAATAAAAAGACAATTCAATATTTTAGGTCAAAATCTTTTGGCAAAAGTTTGTTTTTTCATTATAGTTTAGCATTTATTAAAAAAAAAAAAAAAATAGTTTTTTATTATTGTGAATGTTAAATATAAAAAATAAAAAAATGCCTTTTATTTAATAATTGCATTAGTTTGTATTGTGATATAAAAATATCCATGTTGTATTAAAACAATGCTAAATCACCAAACCTCTGGTCAATTGAATTTTTCTCTCTAAAATAAAAAATATATAGCTGTTGTATTATAATTTTACAAAAGAGCTTCGGCTATGTGAATACTTATCAGCGGAAAATTATGATAAAAATTCTTATGAAAAATAACAGACCAAAAGTACAAACAAAATAAATAAGATAAAAATTTAAAATATAAATTTCTTTATTACTAAATTTATCAAAAGCAAAATTATAACTACAAAGATAACATACATTAAACAAAATAATTATGTAAAAATGCAAACTCTTCCGTAATGTTGTTATTCATTGCCCAGCACAATTTAATATCATAAAATAAAAAGTAAAACTTATTCTTAATTACTGACAAATAATTTGATCGAATGGATTATTTGAAAACAGTAGGTTGCCAATACAAAACAGTTGGAACTGATATTCTAATTTAAGATTCTAAGATGAAAGGAAGCATTGGATGAATGGTTTTTGCATATCATTACAAGAGGATATTTAATACTTATTACTAAGAAAACAGTAAATAATTTCAAGAGTTTCAACTTTCACAGAATAAAATTGTAAGGTGGCAAACTTTCTGAATAACGAGAGGGTAGTTACTGGTAATAAAGAAACCTAAGGTTCTTCATTGCTCAAATGTTTTCTTTATATTAAAATCAGAATAAAACATCCAAAATGACAATAAAATGTGACAAAGTGTAGGAATAAGAAAAAGCAAAGACATTTTTACTTACATTTTGATTGTAAAGATATAAGAAAGGCTCATAGGTATTTTAAATAAATAGGCAATATAAGTTTGTTTACCATATTTAAAATTGATTACTAATAACTGTAATAGACACAGGAAATAAACAGATTTTGGAGGTATATTGTGGATAAACACTACCTGTGGTAATATTCCAAATCAGTTCCAATGTTTTAATATTACAAATGCTTAACAAAAACAGCATATAGAGTAAACAAATTTGAAAAAAAAAAAAAGGTTGTTTTACTGTATTCTTAATATTAAACGGTTTATCTTTTTGCAAAACATAATTTTTTTATTTTTTTTGTTTAATGTAACATATCATATTATATGATGGAGAGAGAGAGAGGAGCAAGAAAAGAAAGTATTTCTATATAACATACCTCTGACTAGATGACAACATCTTACAACATGTGTATGAGGGTGATCTATTGCGACATCAAATCCAAGGGTCTGGAGAAGTATATTTTCATTCACAACGAGTTCTTGAGCTTGCTCCATATAAACCTGTGAGTTACACTTAATAAATAAGTTAAACTTGGTATAAACTTTAAGTTTAACTTAATTTAATATTTAATAATTTATTAAAGGAATATGTAAACAATAACTAATAAGTAATAAACCAAAATAAATAGGCCTATAGACTGCCTAAAATCGATAAATTTTACTAGTACTACTTATGTAAAGTATTTAAAAGTTATAAATATCTATTTATAAATTTGATACTAATAAATATACATAAATTATTATTTACTGAAAGTGAAAAGTGTCCTTGATAGAAAAGTATCCTTTAATGAGATACTTGCAAATTAAGAGACTATCCTTTGTTCCCTCTACATCCATAAGTTACCTCATGAACTACTAGGCTAGTGGTACAATAAATTGATACAAGATAATTATATTTTTTTTTAATTGGAAACTTTGCTACTGAGACCACTCCAATTTTTTAATACTTGTTACAAGGAAATTTTTGAGATCAATTTCTAACGACTTAATTGCAAACAAGGTAAGTTGTTTGTGTATGACGCAACAGGGTGAGGGTGGAGGTTTATTCTAAAGGTATAACCAGCCTACTCCACATCCAGGGGATACAGGAACAGTTCCCCTCGACTCAAGATTGCTAAGGTTATGATGCCTTAACAATCTCAGCCATGACAGCCTCCATTTTATATAATTTTACTACAAGTATTTCATACCTAACATTCATCAATACATGTATGTATCTGATGTGCTTTTTAATCAGCTCGCAGTAGAACAAAATCATAAATTAAGGAATTGCTGTAACGTAAGTTGGGCATTTAATTAAATGTTTGAAGTAGTATAAGAATATACTGCATTATCTCCATCCAGATATAATTTTGGAAGTTAACATCCCTTTAAAATATTAATTCAGGTACATCAGAGATTAATAAATTGCAAAAGAAGTTGAACACGTAAACAATTTAACACTCTAAATAGTTACAGCTAAAGGCCTTTATCGGCGGTGATCTGACAGACCATCTTGTATAACACTATGTCCAGCTTCTGTTATTAAAGATATCTATTTTTTTATATCATTAAGATTTTAAACAAAATTCTATTTTGCCAGAAATTAATATTTTTTTCATGCACTAAACATATCTTATTTTATCTATTAAAAAATAAGTAAATGGTAGCAACAATCTGTGTATATAAATTTATGTTGTTTACGTAAATCAAACAAAAAAATTAGTTTTGTTTACACCAAGTTAAAAATAAAATTTACGGATCAAGAATATCAATACATAGACATCAAGGAGATATTAAGATGAAGCCATCCTTACTCAGCACAGAGATATAATATTTAGAAACTCAATAGGTGATGTCGGTAATATTCCAGTTTATTATAAGTGAAATATCATTGAATATATTTAGTTTTTCAAAATCACTAGCAGGAAATTTGTGTCAAATTTCAGTCCTCTAGTTGTGAAGTGGTGAGAAGATAAGAGGCGAGTCATTCAGTCCTGGCTTTCATTTTGAGACATAAATATTTGTATACTTATGACAAGTAAGCTATATTTTCCATTATGTTTGATAACATAATAGTTCATATAGTGTTAAATACTGTTTATTGTCATATCATCCCTCAACACATCTTAACTGTACCAGATTTTTCTTATAGAAAACTGTCAGTGAACAAGGAAAAACAGTCTACACCAAAAAACAGCTCCAGTTTAATAAGGAGAAATTATTATTTTGAAGGCAAGCAGAGTATAGAGATGAAGAAGCACAGTATCCTCATTAAAAAATAATCTATTTCAACATCTAGAACGCACTTTCACTTGTAAACTTATTGCAATAATTGTTTTCTAAAACCTAAACTATAAATCAAGTCATAACAATACCTCGGACTTGATGTCAAGTGGAGGTTGCTCCCTGTGAAGACAAATCTGGGCCACTTTGATAACATGTTCCAGCTTTCTGGGTTGTTCCTCAACTTTAGCTGCTAGGAATAATGCAGCTGCAGCCATCGCATTTCGGTGAAACCGTGTAAACGAATGGAACATATAGAAACGATGCATATATACAATCGCAGTATTAATGCATAGCTGAGTACTAATAGAGTAAGAGTTAAGGAAAAGTAAGAATCGATTAAACAATCAAAATAAAATAATTATAAAATTAATATAATTTTAACTAAAATAATTATTAAATGAGACTGTAGTCTTCCATTATGATTAGGGTGAAAAAGAGAAAATCATGAAGAAAACTATAAGAAAGAAGAACAATTGAAATCCTTAAAGAAAGTAAAAACATGAGGATGCTTCCTTGCTGCCAGATGTATTGCATTAATAGAACATAAAAACTAGCTATATTTTTTTCTAATTAATAATAAAAAAGGAACTAATTGGATAATTACAATTGTTAATCATAAAAAGAAGTAAAAAATAATATTTTGTTCACAATATCATATGCCTAATTGAACTCTTTATTACATTATGAAAATGTAAAACAAAACTATTGTTTATTAGCTTCTAAGAAACCTTTTTTTTAATATTTTATCACTCTAGGGGTAATTTTAGACCCAAAAGAATAAAAGTTGGACCATATCAAGCCGTTATGAAAAGACAATCAAGGTAGATAACCTGTAACATAAAGAATCTTCCTCTACTTTGAAATCTCATGGTTCACAAACCCAATAAACAAAAACATAATAATAAAAAAATTCAGAAATCAGGGAAAATGTACTACAGACCCATTGACTAATCTAATTAGATCAATAATCTATTTAAAAACCAGAATTTTCGAGGGATGAATAGTAATAAAAAAAATCAAAAACATTTTCTCAGCATTTGAAAAGATGTACTAAAAATACATCATAAGCAAGCACTAGACACCAAGAAAGAGGCAATAATGTTAATTATTACCCAACTAAGTGGAATATTAGGATAAACAAACAACCTCCATTCAGTATAGGATCATTTGTAGGAGAAAACATTCAAGACAATGAATAAACATGCTACCACAAAGAATACAATAAAATAAATATTAAAAATGACAAATTATAGGATAACCCGTACTATAGTAATGAAAGTTAGCTCTTAGACTGAATGTGTGGAAATAATAACTAATATTAACTGAAATAATTCATACATTAAAAACACTATTTGGCTCGTAAAACTGAGGTCACACAGACAAATCTAAAACTAGCAACTAACTTCAGGAGTATGTAAAAAATAATCAACAATATTTTGGAAGAGAATATCAGACTAATGACTGAAAAATAATACAACTTGTGATTTGAAGAATGAAACTCTTTGTCTTTAAAAGACTAAGATCTGTTAAAATGACTCAAACATATTCTAAGATATGGTAGCAACCTACTTCAATGTTAAGAACTATTCATAGCATCGAATACTTAATAAACAAATGCTATTCACAATTTTTAATGAAATCATAAGGAAAAAATGCCAAAATAAAATAAATAGCAGTTTAAGGATCTGTTTTCATTGTAATTTCGCAAGCTCTCTGAATAAAAGTAACAAAATGCATGTCAAAAAAAGAAAAGTGTCAATAGGACAATATTTGGAGTTCAATAATTATATCCTCATTAAAGCAATAACAAGGTTATATTAAGGTTTAGGTTATATTTAACAATAAAATATCAACTACCTCATAAAATAGAAGAATTAGAGAACTAGCACAACCTATATATAGAAACCACACAAAAAAATTCTAGTTATGAATAGAAAATTCCATTAAAACTGAACTGTTTATATAAAATCAAACAAGAATTACTATACCCAAAAAGCAATGTGGCTAAAATGTATTGCAGTTTTTGCTATAGCATTGGGTTATGATTGTCCAACTACATTTGAAATACATTTCATACAGAGCCACAACAAAACATTTTGGAAAAAGCAAATTATCAAAACCATTCTAAAAATTAAAACAAATAACCATGAATGAAATTGTGACCAGTAACATAACATTGCATAGTAGCAACATAATTAATATTACCATGTGACCATTATTTAGTAATTGTAAAAACAGTATTTCTTTACTATAATATCGACAGAATTATTAAATAACACAAGCAAAACAACTTTAATACAACTACCCACAACAAAGTATGCTTGACTTTCTACTATAATTAACTAATTGTGGTATATTTCAAACTTGCTAAAATATAAACAAATCAACTTAATTTTACCATAAAAGTACTCCAGCTTGATAAAAACTGGTAAAGATGCAACAAATTTACTAAACAAAGATAAACCACTTTCATTCCCTAACTCTAACCTTCAAGTCCAATCTTTACAAAAGAAAACCAATTCTTGTTTGTGATGTTCCAATAAAAGTCATAACAAATATCCTTAGTAAGAAACTAAAATGAAATCAACAAATAGGAAAGCAAAGATTAAAAAAAATAAATAACTGAAAATATGGTACACCATAACCTAAACATAAATCACACTACAAAAACTAACCAATTATTAAAACATCCAAGACTAGTTACACTACACAGCACCAAATGAATTCATTCAAAAGAAAACATAATAGTAAAGGATAGTTAAACATGCATCAATGAAATAAAAAACAAATAATATTGCACAATCAAAATTTGTAAAGGATACACTAGTAACCGTTGGCCCATATCTTGAATGAAATTTGCTGCTTGCTGTCTGCTAGACAATTCCTTATCCGCATCGAAGCCACATTTTCTGCTTGGAGTATTTGCTAATTGTTCCTTGGTAAAATACCATTTTTCTTCAGCCGCCATTTAATTCTTAAATGCACTAATCCCTTAGGAAGATATCAGGTCCCAAACTTAATTAATTAAGTCCTTATCGTTCCTACGGGCTACATAATTACTTCACATCATAATATATACAATTAAAACTAACTAACATCACTATTCAGTTGCACATATGACGCGCATAATTCTACTATTGCTCATGCTTCTTAAGAGTAGCAGGTTGGGTCACCTAGTAGAAAAGCTAATAAGTAGTCAGAGATATAGAATTATCTGCTTAAGACAACGACCAAAAAACGTCTTCAAAATATTTATTCGTATTAAAATTATTAGCAATAAAAATTATATTTTATATTTTTAAAATAATCATTTAAACTGTTTGAATCCATCAACTGACTTTGGTGTCAATCTTCCCAGGAGTAACATCAACACTTTATTGTAAACTTAGACTTATATTAAACTTAAAAATCATTCCTGTTAATTTATATGTTCAATATCGTAACAACCATGCTATATGACTAATACTATGCGACTTTTAAACTTTGATGTACATGAGTTACAAAATGCTTTCGTTGCAGGGGGGGGGAGGGGATAAAGGAAAACTAGCTAAATCTCTTGATACATAGGAATAAAAGAGCACTAATACCACTCATCCCCGATTTTCACACTTATTACTAATCTAAACTGTTTTAATTTGAAACATATGTTTTTTTAAAAGTTAATTAAAGAAAGTAGGGATGTTTATTTCACTTTTATCATAGAGAATGAATCCAATTTATCAACCAAATCAACAATATTCGTTTCAATTATTTTTTAATTTTTGTACAGAATTATTTAAATGCAAACTCTTAATATCAAGAATGCCTTAAACCATGTATTTATATAAATAGGAAACGACCACAAAATGGTAGAAAACCATTAATACAGATTCCCAGCAATTATTAAAGAAAAATCACTAATGATAACAGGCGAAAATTAAAAATATTTTGGGATTAGTCAAGTTAAAATATAATAAAAAAAACAAAATCAATAACTCCGAAACATAATCCTCAATGGAGGTTTATTCACTGCTATTATCTTAACAAAACCACTAAAATTAAAACTAATTTAAAAAGAAAACTTACTAAGGCATAGGAAATTAAATTAAAAAGGCATGGGACCTTCTAAGAACAGTATAAAATTAGCTATAATTTCCCAGCAAAGTTTTTTCAGTCTTTCAGTTGGGGATTCAGGATTTAATTTTGGACCTAATCATTTTTTAAATGACTGTAATAAAAGGAACAATAATGCTTTAAGCCAGAGGTCTTCAAACTACAGCCCGCGAGCTGAATTTCGCCAGCAAGCATCTCTATTCCAGGTCGTGAAAGCTTCTTTGATTCCATGATAAAATTTTAAAAACTACTTAAAAAATCTAGAATTTAGTAAATCACTCAAATACAAGTTTACTACAATATTTATTGCACGAGTTGTTTTTCTTAGAAACCCAATTCCACAAGTGTCATTTATAGAACAACTTTTTTATTTTTATCACAAGCCATAGCCCGTGGTACCAAGTGAATGTCTCAAACCGGCCCCCGGGACTTATTGCAGGTATCATTGGGGCTCGGGGACCGAAAAGTTTGGAGACCTTTTCTTTTTAGCGATAAAGTTTTCATATTTTTTCAATACATTTAGTAACAGAAGTACATGCGTTATAATTTATAAACAGGATATATAATTATAATGGTTTACGGGGATGAGAGTGGGGGAGGCTTTCAGGCTTACCAAAAAATCAGAACGCACGCTCAACGCCTGGGAGAGGAAAGTATTGAGAAGAATAAGGGGCGGAATCTTTGAGAATGGAATTTGGAGAAGAAGAAAGAATTAGAAGCTGCGGGAGCTTTATGACGAACATGATATTGTGACATTGATAAAAAAAAGCCAGAATCAGATGATTAGACCATGTGAAAAGAATGCAGACTAAATAACGCCAAAGAGGATGGATGATGCATGAGAAGCAGATGACGCCCTCGGATCAGATGGCAGAAGAATGTGGAGGACGATCTGAGGCGGCTGGGCGTTCGAAGATGGAGGGAAGTAGTACAAGACCGTGGAGATTGGTTGGTTGACTGCACGGGCGGATCTACGGGAGGGCTTTCGGGCTGAAGCCCCCCTCCCCCCCCCCAAATTGGTAAAATATAACCTATTGTTCGAGTAATTACATTTAAAAGGGCTTTAGGAATCACTTAAACACCATTTCATATAGGTAGTTAGTTTCTTTCTTTTTTTCCAAAGTAATTATCGTTATTTTTATGAAAAAAACAACTTTCGGGCTAAAGCCCCTCCCAAAAATTAAATCCTGGATCCGCTAGTGGTTGGCTGTAGTGGAGGATGCCCAGGTTCTTGCAGGACCATAGTGTCATTATAATAAAAATAATGATAATAATAATATATTATATATTTAAAAGCTTTCGGGCTGAAGCACCCAAAATTAAATTCTTGATCTGTTAGTGGACACTGGCTTCTTTTGTAATCAAGTTATTGAGAAATAAACACCCACGTGAGAGTAGCACGTTCTTATAAAAAATTAGTATAGATGTCTTTTTTTTAAAAGTATTTAATGATCCTATATTTTGTAATTTATTTTATATATTAGGTTTGATAATGTGATGTGGATAGGTGGATGTATATTGTTTTTTTTTAGATTATAACTACTTAAATTTTTATCTTTTGATTTTTAACTGATTTAGGCAATTACTATTTTTATTGTTTTATTTATTTATTCTTTTAGATTCTAACTTTTTAACAGTTAATTGATTTTACATTTTAACTCATTTTAGGAAATTATTTTATAGATTTTAACCTTTTTAGATTTTAACCTTTTTAGACTTTAACTTTTTAACTTTTTTTTAGATTTTAACTTTTTAACTTTCTTAGATTTTAACTTTTTTAGATTTTAACTTTCATTTATTTTTAACTTGTACTTAAATTTTAACTTTAAACTTTTTACTGATTTTATATTGTAACTTATTTATAAGCAATTTATTTGATAGATGTATATTTTTTTTTTAAGCTTTTATCGATTTTATATTTTAACTATAACACTATTTAACACTTAATTTTATAGTTTTTAACTTTGTATTTATTTATTTATTTAATTATGCACGGATTGTTTCAATCATGCGCGTGGTGGGCATAGTCTAGAACGAAAAAAAAAATATTGCAATGAACAAAATACCAACGAAGAAGATCGAAGTTGGACAAAAGGTATGGGTTCTGAGAACTGGAGGACCTGTTCAAGAGGCGGTTGTTGCCTCTGTGATGTCTGTGGCTACTGCAGGAGGCGGAGATAATAAATTTGTTAAAGTGGAATGGCCTGACACAGAAGGTGTGGTATTGGGAAAGACGGTGTCGATAGATGATGTCTTTCCCAGATTGCCAAATGATCCGCTGAATGTCGCAGAGGTACTTAGTGAGCGGCAAAATGAAGCTCTACGCCCTGATGATAAAGTTTGTCCGATATGCGGGCTTTCTTTTAAGGGCGAACGAGGTCTCGGAACCCACATTGCAAAAAAACATACCAGGGAGGCGAATAATAATACATTGAGGGGCATAGTAAAGAACGTGATAGGTCCTAGAAATGGAGAGGGTGAGTCATCAAAAATAAAAGAGGACATTGTTGAATGGTCTACTACGTTCAAGAATCTTTTAAAGCAAGAAATGGTGAATACTGCGGATTTTGATGAGGCCGTAGGCAAGTTCCTAAAGTTCCTCAAAGTCATTAATGCGGAACTGCCAGGTCCCCAGCACCCAGCCGTAAAATTTTATAGGATGAGGAAAAAAAATAAAATGAAAATGGCTGACAAGGGTGCTGGACAAGTCTCAAATCCGCAGAGGGCAAACAAAGTAGACAGGAGTCGTCGGCAAGAGCAGTATCAGTACGAGGTTGCCCAATATAATTATTATAATAAAAGAAAAAAGGTTGTGCAAACTGTAATGAATGCCGACGCTCCTAAACGGTGTCCTCTAAAAATGGCCGAAATCGAGAGGCATTATAAAGACCTCTTTGAGAACGAAAATCTCTGCGGGCGTGCGGATTACGAACAGTGTGCCCCGATGCCGGATTTGCTGTCCATTGAGATAGAAGCTATCAGGAAAGCCATTAAATCAACATCAATGGACACATCGCCGGGGCCTGATGGAGTTCTGATCCGCACAATAAAATATTTTGACGTATCAAGCATTATTAAAACGATTGC